ACTAAAAGACTTATGCGCACCAGCCAGTCTAACTACCAAGAGCTTTAACGAGCTGAGCAAATTGCTAACAGACCACCATGCGCCTACCCCATCAAAGTTTTTATGTAGAGCTAGATTTGACAGTAGGACTCGTCAACCAAACGAGTCAATATCAGAATATGTTGCTGCTTTACGTCATTTAAGTGAATTTTGTGAATTCGGCGATACGCTGTCTGACAGACTATGTGAAAAGTTTGTGACAGGTGTAAACAGCCCTGATATTCAAAGAAAGTTGCTGCTCGAGTCAGATCTAAAATTAGAAAAAGCAATACAACTTGCAATGTCATTCCAGCAGTCATCAGATGCGGCGAGATCTTTAGCACCTTCAGAGATCCATGCAGTAAACAGCAGGTTAGTCAATAAACATCCACCCCATCAGAGCATTCCAACTTATGCTAAACACCCTGCTCGTTCAAATCCTAGATCTAAATCTAGTAATAATTATCAAAAATGTCATCGATGCAAAGGTCCCCATGCATCTCATCGGTGCAAGTTCAAGTTGGCAACTTGTTATAAGTGCGGTAAGCAAGGTCACATTGCCAAGGCCTGCTTTGCAAAGTCTTCGTCTGTTGCTAAATCTAGCCAGTCAAGACAGTACCGCAACCAAAAGCAGCACTATGTTAACTCTCACCAAGACTACCTAACCCAACCAATGAACCACTCTACCTGTGAAAATTCTCAAACTGATTCGCAGCCGGATTTCAGCCTATTCTCTGTGAAATCAATAAGTCATGCTCCCATCAATGTACCAGTTTATATCAACGGTAAGAGCATCAGCTTCCAACTTGACACTGGAGCATCTCTAACAGTCATAACAAAGAAAGATTTTGACGCTGTCACAGGAGGATCAGTGCCTCTACAGCCGTGTCACAAGTGTCTAACAACATACACTGGTGACAATGTTCCGGTAATAGGAGAGTGTATGGTTCATGTAAGTTATAATGGTCAAAGTGTTAAACTTCCTCTTCTTGTGGTTGAAGGAAATGGACCGCCATTACTAGGTAGGAACTGGTTAAGTGATCTTAAGTTAAATTGGGAGAGTATTTGTTCATTGAAGAATGTAAAAGAATCTAGTCTTACTTCACTAGATAAAGTAATATCTGAAAATAAATGTGTTTTTGGTAACTCTGGATTACTAAATGATAGAACAGTGAAGTTAAGCATTAAAGATACAAATCCAAGATACTGCAAAGCTAGAGTTCCACCTTATGCAATGAGGAATAAAATTGAAAATGAGCTAAGTAGATTGGAATCTAATGGCATTATAAAGAAGGTAGACTATTCCGATTGGGCGACACCCATTGTGCCAGTGTTAAAGAAGGATGGTTCTATAAGAATTTGTGGAGATTATAAAACTACACTGAATAAGCAAATAGAGCTAAATAGGTACCCTATACCTAACATTGAGGAAATTTCTTTGAATTTGGCAGGAGGAGACAAATTCACTGAATTAGTCTTTAGTCATGCTTACACTCAACTAGAACTGCATCCAGATTCAAAAGTCTATACGACAATAAACACACATAAAGGACTCTACCAATATGAAAGACTATGTTTTGGCATATCATCTAGTCCTGGAATTTTCCAAGCTGTCATGGACAGTATTTTTAAGGATATTCCAAATGTTTGTGTTTACTTTGACAATGTGTACATAACTGGTAAGAATGACACTGAACATCTTAAAACACTAGATAAAGTCTTGAAAATTGTTGGTGAAAAAGGTTTAAAGATAAACAAAGATAAATGTCAATTCATGCTGACAGAAATTAGTTTTCTTGGTTATATATTAAGCAAGCAAGGTATCAGACCTCAACCTGAGAAAACAAAAGCCATTAAAGAAGCACCCAAACCTGAAAATACCCAACAACTAAGAGCTTTTTTGGGCTTGATAAATTACTATGCAAAGTTCATAGGAAATCTGTCTGGTAAACTATCACCACTGTACAAGCTGCTACAGAAAAATGCAACTTGGCACTGGGGTAAACAACAAGAAGCTGCTTTTAACACAGCAAAAGAGGCTTTGTCTGCTGACACCTTACTAACTCACTATGACCCAGGGAAAAGACTTATATTAACATGTGATGCTTCACCAGATGGTGTAGGAGCAGTCTTGTCCCACATGGATGAGAAGGGTGACAGACCCATTGCTTTTGCCAGTAGATCTTTGAACCAGGCTGAGAAAAATTATTCTCAGTTAGATAGGGAAGGCTTAGGCATCATTTTTGGTGTTAAGAAATTTCATAAGTTTCTGTTTGGTAGGAAGTTCACCATCTTTACAGATCATAAACCATTGCTAGGGTTATTTGGAGAAAACAAAACCCTACCTGAGCATGCCTCACCAAGAATTCAAAGATGGGCTATCACACTAACTGCATACAATTATGAATTGAAATACAAACCTGGATCTGAGAATAGTGCAGATAGTCTTAGTAGATTACCTTTAAAAAACCAAAGCCTGAGCTATGTACCAGAAGATGTATTTGTTCTCTTCACTATCATGGATAACTCCAATATAAATGTGAATGATATTAAAAGAGAAACACAAAAAGATGAGTGCTTAATAAAAATATATGAGTACAGTAAGAATGGTTGGCCTGAAGAGTCTGTGAATGATGACTTAAGGCCATATTAAATAAGAAATAAAAACCTTTGTGAAGATAATATAAAAGATGGAGAAGATACAGTCCATTATCAGTCAGAGTTGCCTAAACAAAGTATTTGTAACTTAATAAATGATTATGGTGATATGGCAATTTCAAATGTTTTAAAGAGAATACATTAGTAAGAAGGAATGTGATCATCAAACAACTTTGCTAACATCATTAGCACTTACAGAAACTAAAAGGGTAACATCAAAAGAAAAAAAAAAAAAAAAGATTTTTGCCATTTAATACACCCACTTCAAATACTGGATCACAGTTGCAAAGTGATATGGTCCAGAATATTACTCATAAACAGTATTTTTGGTTACCAGGAAAGCACTATCAGATTACCTGAGAAAAATGGATCAATCAAAGAAATCTATGTCAATTAAGGATCTGAATAATAGCATAATACTTTCAGATGCCAATTCAAAAATAGCTCCATTAAATCATGACAAACATTCATTGAAAGAGAATTTGGTGTTAATGAGAATGTGTATCTAAGAAACTATGGGAGAAAGGAAAAATGGATACCAGGTCAAATTGTTCAAGGTACAGGACCTGTGCCTTATAAAGTTAAAAATAACTTGTGCAGATAATAAGTGTGAATCTGTCAATCCCACCAAATCTGATCAGTTCACACCAACTCAGTTTGTTCCACAACCAAGTTCTGTTGATATGAGTGAACCAAGTTGTCTGGAGTCAGAAAATGTAAATTCTGGAGTTAATGATTTAAATCCTAGACCTCCTGAGATAGAGAATCCAGATGGTCAGAATCTTGAGTCACCAAATCAGAAGCCACTGAGAAGGTCAAGCAGGACAATCAAAGTCCCAAATAAGTTAGACCTATGATTCTAAAGGTCAAAAGGACTTTGACATTATTGTTTTGTATTTTGATTATGTTGTGGCATATTGTGCATTGTTTGTAAGGATGTAATCTACCATAATGTTCATGTTACAATATAATTGGTGATTTTAGGATACTATCAATTGTTCTATTGAGAGATGTGTTATTGTGTTCTAAGGGTAAAGGGATGTAATAGATTGAAATAATTGTGAGGTCAAGGGAACTCACTCTTCTGTATTAGTTATATTTATAATATTGTTATCTTGAGTGATGTCCCTTGTGTACTTCCTTCCGTCCTCTCTGGTATTACCATCATGAGGTAGTTAGACCCAATAAAATGTGTTATATACAACCACAGGCTTCTGTCGTCAATCTATTATAACCGCCCCCCCGAAGATTCCAAGTGCCCCCCCCGGAGAAAAAAGTCTGGAAGAAACACTGCAAAGGTCCAAATCTCCCCCACCACCTCAAAGTCTGATGGACGACCACTACAGCATTTTGCTATTATTTATAGGATATTCATTAATTAGTCATACAAACCCAATTACATTTGTTGCTGTGATGGTATCTCTGTCATTACAATTATTAAATAGTTTATCTTAACATTTCCCTAAGCCCATTTGCTATAGCTGCCTATCCTTATAGAAAACATCTTTTCCTCAAATATCTGGAAAGCATCTGATCAGCAAGTCTTTTTCTTTTGTAATATATAACATGTTCATAAACTTGCACGGCCAATAACAACACATTACCAGAAAACAGGCAGTGATTATAGTTTGCTGTATTTGTGGTTGATGGTTAGTTATCAGCCATGCTTCACTAAGCCTGGTCTACATTTATATGCTGGTATGGCTAGAATTGACAATTTTACATCTATGATATATATATATGCAAATGTAAGGCTTAGAGTGGGACTACATATTTGTGAACACATTTGCTAAAGCAAAAGTTCTTGAGTTGAAATTTTAATCCTTTAGGTTGTCTCTGATTCAAATTCAAAGCAGCTTTAACCTTAACTGGTACCTGACTGCATATAGACCGTAAAACTTAGTAAAAGCTGTTGACATTTTGCTGACCATAAAATTTATTAATATGGAGAGGCAACAAAACTAGGTGAAATCTACTTCAGCACCATATTCTTAAAAACTATTTATAGTTCGCCAGTTTAAGTTATTTGTTGAATTAAGGTAGCAATAATTAGTTTCCGCTTACACCAGCACACACAACCAGTGCTGAAAAAAAAAAATAAACATAACAAAGTTTATGATTTTCTTTTTTTAATTACCATATTCATTCAGAACTAACATAATAAAAAACAGTTGTTCAATATGAACACGTTTTCTTGGGTCCAACGTGTATCCTTGGATCAGTTTTTAAATTGAGCTTCATCTTGACTATTGTCTTCTATGTATGCAGTTGTATAATCCACAGTATCTTAAAAAAACATAAATAAATTTCATAAACTGTTATATTAAACTCATTATGTTTACATACTTTCAACTCTTAATGTTATAAATAAAAATATTTGTCCTTCTTATAAAGATCATAAAGCAATGATGTGTATTTATGTATTGGATTGTATGGGCTATCTAACCATTACCATTCATTAAAAATATAGGTCTAATAGTTTACTTTTAATATTTTAATGTAAGGAGTTTGTCATAAAATACAATAGGCCTTCAAAAGAAAAAGGTATCAATAAAGATATACTACTTATGTTTAGCCACCTCAGGAATTAGTTGAAAATTGATATTCAAACTAGGCTACTATAACTATCATTAATTCATGCACATACTAAAATAAATATTAGGATAATTATATTAATTTGATTAGTAAGTTAATCCATCTATGACAAGTGACACCTTTTGGCTTTATCAACTATTCTGCATTTTAAGTTCTAAAGATCACTACATAAAACTAAGAGTAGACTAAGTCATATATTAAGTTAATTAAGTAGAACTAAAATAAGACAGCTATTTACTAGTAAGCCTACTCTTCTATTCAGTAATTTTTACTATTATTATTAGAGGCCTAAAATTACTGTTAGACTACTAATCTAGATTAAACTTAAATTTTGGATATTATTTAATGTACTAGTATATAACCTTTTATTTAGGCTACATGTAATTTTTACAGTTTAAAATTGTAGCCTTATTAAGCCTAGTTAACTTTGTTTAACTTACATACTAATACTAAATACCTACCCTATCACAGGCCTACTAGTGGCTACTAGACTACCACTAAGCTACTAGATCTACATGTAAATCTACAGTCTAGATAGGCCTACTGAAACTAAAAGTAATATGACAACTGTAAAAATTAAGCATACTTTATTTTTTTTACAATACTATTTTAAGCCTATAGACCTACTGTTATTAAATATGAATCTATTAGTTAGACTATCATAAGTCATCATAAGTCTAATTAGTAATTACCTTTAACTAGGCCCTAATCATAATAACAATGTAGCCTAATTGAAGTATTAAGACTGTCGTCTGTACCATAGCCTAAATTATCTTAAATAAAATGTATTTTGTACAGATCTAGTAATTTAGTAAGTATTAACTAGATCTATTAAAATTAAATTAATATAGAAATTATTGGCCTACTAAATAATTGATTCACTAATCATAATGTCATGATTTTGCAATTATGAGGTTGTGTGTATTGTAATATACCTAGTAACTGTATAGAGTAACTATACTTACTAATACTACTACTATAGTAAATATATTTTAACAAGTAGGCTTTAACTAATTAGACTAAGTCTAATCATTTATTAGACTAGCAGGGGTCTCCAAACTACGGCCCGCGGGCCGGATGCGGCCCGCGAAGTCCTCTCATCCGGCCCGCGGCGACCTTTTCGTCCAAGAAAAAATCGTTTGTTGGTGATGATGAGGAACTTTGCGCAGAAAAATCAAAGACATGCCAGGAAGAAACTGGCCCCCGAACTGAAATTTGATAGTTAATGCGGCCCTCGGACTGAAAAGTTTGGAGACCCCTGGACTAGGTGTATGTGCAGTGCCCTACAAATTACCAAGGACTAAGATTAACTATTTACTATATGACTAGTCTCTAAAACTAGTCTATACCAGTTACCAGCTACACATTTATAATATAAACTATGGGCCTAATTTATTTAACTTATCTATTATTACTATTAACTTAAAATACTTGAATTATTTAATATAGATTTTTATAAAATATATAAAACTGCTAGATCTAGACTGATTCTAGACTAGAGTAGATCTCTACTCTACTTGACTTATACATTCTAGATCTACTGACATACAATATAAAGTTACTTAACTAACTATAATATCTATAGTATAGATCTAGTTAGTAGGCTATAGTATTAATATTATTGAGTATTAAGTACAGTGGCGTGCAGAGGGGGGGGGGGGCGGACGGGGCCCAGGCCCCGGGCATCCACCACTGGGGGGCATCCAGCGGGGGCGGAAAAATTTTTTTATTCTCAATTTTTTTTTTTTTTTTATTTTTTTTTTAGTATTTTAAAAATTGTTGCGATATGTCTTGTCATATTGTCATCGCAAATTTCCAACTTTTTTTTCACTCAAAAAAAATTGTAACACTCAATCATCTGTCACTTGTTTTAACATTACACTGTCCATATATAACTTATAGGCCTATAGAAAAAGCGGGCATCAGTGAAGGAAGTCAATGATATTCCCTTAATAAATGTAGGGGCATCGTTTAGAGTACTTGTGACCAAGTTATTCCCATGCACTGTAAAGGCATCTTAAACGTAATATGCGCGTATTCGTTATACTCATTTTCAAGGACATCCGTCGAGTAATTAAATTATATTTATTTTTATACACTGTAGGGGCATATTAAAGTAATTATTCGTATAATCATTATAATATATTTTATGAGCATTTAGTAATATGCCCACTTCACTTTATAATACATTTTAAAGGCATCCATACAGTAAGTATGCCCATCTTCATTTTATATATTGTAGGGGCATCTTGAAAGTAATTATGCTTATATTCATGTATTACACTCGAAGGGCATGCAACAGTAGTTACACCAATCATCGTTATTAACATCTCTAAAGCTTTTTTTAAATGTACTTCTTCATTATGATCCATTTTAAGGGCATCCAAAGGGTAATTATGCCCATATTATTATTATAATTTTTTGGAGCATCTTTGGTGAAATATATGGCCATTTGTTGTGTAATAACGCCCAAACTTTTTATTTTTGTTAAATTGTAAGGGCAGCCTTCAGTGGCGTAACTAGGATTTTCGGCCCCTATGCAATAATTAACAATGTTAATAATGTTAGTCGTCCGACCTCCCCCACACCGAATGCCACTGCCTGTACACTAAGAAAGGACTTTGCGCCTATTTGAAATTAAATTATTTCTAAAGTAGAAAAAAAAAACCTGATTTCATTTTTTTTTTAAATTATTTATATAAAATAAATATCAAAATTCCAATGTAAAAGATTTAACTTTTTAAAAGAAGGAAAATTGCCCCTATTTGCCTTGGGACTTATGCCTTGCTTACTCTAGCAGCCCTTAGTATATATTTATTTTTCTGCATTGTATAAGCATACTTAAGAATAAGAATGCCCATATTGTTTTTGATACACTGTAGCGACAATCTCAAGAATACGAATCAACATATTGTTTACTAAACATTGTAATGATATCATTCAGAATAATTACGCCCATATTGATTTTTACAAATAGGAGGAGCATGCTTAAAGTAGTGTTAAAGTTAAAGTATTTTAAAGTAGAGCTTTCTTTAAAGTAATTGGGGGCACAAACAGAGCCAGTTTTATTTCAGTTAATAGTAGTGCTATCTATAGAGATTCTAGATCTAGTATACTAGATCTATACTATGGGATGACCATACGAGTATAAAATGATTATGGGCATGTTCTCTAAAAGATGCCCCTACCTACACTATACCTAAATAAGTAGCCTATCAGATACTCTATTAATTGAAAGACTGCATACATTTATTCGGGGAACATCAATGACTACTATACCCCTACCCTTCACCAATGACTTTTGTTGATTGTAAATACACATTTCGGTGAATTCAGCAAATTGATAACTCTGCCTAGGTAGACAAACCTAAGAAGACTTTTAACTTTCCTAAAAAAAAAAAAAAAAAAATTTAAAACAAAAAAATAAATTTAAAAAAAAAAAATTTTTTTTACCCCGTTGGATGCCCCCTTGATGTCGATGCCCGGGGCCTGGGCCCCATCCGCCCCCCCCCCCTGCACGCCACTGGATGAGATGAGATGGGATGGATGGATGGATGGATGGATGGGTGGATGGATAGATACACAGAGAGATAGATACACAGATAGACAGACAGCGAAACTATTAGTATTAATGGATTGAAGCGATTTTTCACCATCAATCATTTTAGTTTATTTTTGTAATTTAAAAATATACTTTGATTATCTATACATGCCTAAATTGGTTATGGTTTCCCGTGTTTTTTTTATTCTTGTGTTTTTCTGAATTTATATTTTAATTTTGAACTTATTTTTTTTTTACAGTTTGTTATTTTTTTAGTATACTTTAATTAAATGATTATTAAGAGAAAACATTTCTTTTTAATATTAAAATGATAATACTATTTAAATAGGGGCGATAAGTCATGGTAGAGGTTTGAAGGTTTGCCTATCTTAACACGATACCCCATGTAGTTTTTGTTTGGTCTATGCCATGCAATTGTGTTTTTTTTTTTTTTTTTTTTTTTACTGTAGAACTTTTCACTGCTGTATTAGATCTTAAAAATAAAATAAACCGGGAGTGATTTCCCCTAAACTTTCTCGAATATTCTTATATAAAATAACAGGGGATGGGAACTCGGGCTATAGACATGATTTTTAATCCATTTTAAATACTTAAAGTTTTAAAAATAGAATAAAATCTCGTAGACAAAAGATTGCACACCAAGTGAACGCCAAATAAAAAAAAAGTGCATAATAGTGCGCAATATTATTAGTACTTTAAAAATGTACATCAGTTTTTTGAGAAATCGGAAGAAGCGAAAATTAGTACTTCTGGGCAACGGAAATTACTCAAAATTTGACAGAAGGTAGAGAATTAGATCTTATACTTACATGTGAAATTTTATTTATCTATCTGAAATAGTACTCAAGTTATAGGCTTTTGAAAAATTCAAAGTAGAAAAAGTACCACTTCCGGTTATCGGAAATCGTTCAAAAGTTGATACGGATTTACGATTTTGATAAAATACTTATATATGAAATTTCATCAACCTAGCTGTAACGGTACTCAAGTTATCGTGTTTACACACGGACAGACAGACACACACACACACACAGACATACGGACATAATTGCAAAGCCCAGTTTTTCAGACTGGATTACGTATAAAACCTCATAATTATGATAAATCTGGATTGATAATTTTTGCCCGATTAAAATAAGTCCTCTATACTTCGGATGTGATGAAGGACTGAGGTGTAATACGGTGAAAATTGTTAAAATTTCAAGTGATTTTTGTGCACGATTACAATACTTTCTCTATACTTCGTATATACGAGAAAGTAAAAAACCATGATCTAGGAAGGTGCAAAGAAAATAATTTGTTGTTTTTGGTCTGATTTTGAGCCGGCATGGTACTTTGGATACCTCATTACGTGTTTTCTCAACTTCATTCACCACTGCTCGAATACTTTACGACTTTAGGTCTAATATTTTACCCAGCGTATATCGACGTGTTACATTAATGTCGCTCTACACCAGGGGTTCCCAACCCCGTGCCCCATGGCGCCCGCCGAACGATTCGTATGTGCCCGCCTCTCCCTATTCGACAGAGACAGATTTTTTTTTCATAAACATTATTGAAAGGTTGAAGGGGATGGAAATCGAAAGTATGAGGGGGGGGGGGGGTGGTGGAAATCGAAAGTTTTGTCCCCGGGTGACGGGAAGGGTCACTACGCCCCTGGAAAGAGTTTGTCGATTTAAAATACCGATATTTTAGAATGTGCTCTAGAGTAAAAAAAAGGTTGGGAACCCCTGCTCTACACAATTACTTCCTGTCCCGTTATGGTAGTGTAGGATAACTAAGAATAAACATAGTGTCAGGTTTTAGATTGCTGTTCTAAAAATACATATAAAAATATACTGATTCTGAAATAGATTTAAATAAGTTACAGTGGCATTATGACGGTAAGGTTTTTTTTTTTTTTTTTTTACAGAAGGGTCTATGGGGGTCGGGTTTAAACATTTTAACCCCCCCCCCCCCCCCCCGCATCAAGTAGCATACATGTATATTTATCGGGTTTTAATCGCCTCCCCCTTTTCACCGCTTCTTACTTTCAGAACACACGTATCTATGGTTTCTTTGAAATAATATTCTCCCGGAGGACGTCGGGTCAATGGTACCAGCATATATTTTGTATATTTTCTATATTCTATGGGAGAAGGTGGACGTGCCAAGGTATATGTGAAAGAAACACTGTATTTTTTTTTACATTAAATGTGTAACGTTATTTTGATTTTAAACACACAAAAAACACGAATTAATTAAGTACTTCCCTACCTGCCGATACTTATATAAGTATAGGTGGGTTGGTAGATAAATAACTTATACAATTGGTTTTCGGTTATACATACAAGAAGGATTAACATTAGTAAAGACTCTGTATATGTATTGCAAAATAACTTTATTGCTCAAACAATGTCAATATGAATCATATCTTGCTGCAATTCATGGCGCTTGAGGTACTGAGAGAGATCAACTCCACTTTTTGTATCCATTGCGCGGACTGAACTCTAAAAAAATAAAAATAAATTTAAAACTAATAAACTTGTTATTGTTAACACATAATATACAATGCCCATATCGGCGCCTGTACTAAAATGATAAAAACCTGAGCAAACCAAATACATATCTCAAAAAAAAGCAACGCAAGATGTTACTAAAATAAAATAAAAACGCTCACAGTTCCATTTTTTTTTTACATTTACTAGACATTACATAGCAACCTTTTACAATAATAGTAATTTATAATAGTTCTTAACCAACCCTTTACACATTAAACTACACAGCCAGGCATAAAGCGACAGGAGAAGATAAGGCAACAGTAATCGGACATCAGGTTGACGGGAACAGGACATCAGACCATAGATAAAAGGTAAATCGGTATATGGACATGATTTTTAATTACTTAAACTTTTAAAAATAGAATAGAATCACGTAGAAAAATGAATTGCGCACCAAGTGAACAACAAACAATTTGTGTATAATAGTGCGGAATATTATCAGTACTTTATAAATACATAAGCGTTCTTTGAGAAATCGGAAATAGCGGAAAGTAATACTTCCGGTCAACGGAAATACTCATATTTCGAAAGAAGGCAGAGAATTAGGTCTTTTACTTATATGTGACATTTCATTTATCTATCTGAAACAATACTCAAGTTAGAGGCTTTTGAGAAATTGAAAGTAGAATAGGTTCCATTTCCGGTTACCGGAAATCGATGAACAGTCGAAACCGAACTACAAATTTGATATATTACTATATTATATATGTAACCCTCACTCAGTGGGGATGCTTTTACCCACTGAGGTGTTGTGGTTAAGACGGGCTGACCCTGAGATTAAGTACACACCGACGCCGACAGTTGTTGTCAAGTACTTGTTTATTTATAGCATCGAGCCATGACGGCGATGCAACACAAAACGAACTAGCCAAGGTAGACCAAAAGATCCAAACAATCCAAAAGACCAAAAGATCAAAATAGAAACAGAAAAAACTGTAGCCCTAAAACAAATGTAAAATAAAAAAGTTACATTCAGGACAACACCACGTGTAAGCTACAATATACACGGGTACAATAAATTATGTTTTCGGCCAGTACACAGTACTGCCAACAAGTACCAATAAGTAGTACTACAAAATAAATACTTAATTTAATACATCACCCTAACTAGTGTGCACATGCAGCACTAGCAGGAATACATAAGTATTTAAACAAACATAATTTATATATCTACACTACCTTCATTAGGTCTACATCTTGGTCCACAGACAGCAGCCTTGCGTGTGCGACACGACTAGGCACATGTCACATGACATGGAACACAGGTAATTTCGCTCACAAAAGCATAAAAAAACGTCAACAGTTCAGTTGCAGTCCCACAGGGGCCGCAACCCAATGAATAAAAACTTCATAGTTTTATCCCCCTTTGGCTAGTAACCATATGTGTTACATATAATATAATAGCTGTAACGGCACTCAGGTTATCGTGTTCACTCACATACACACACGACATACGGACAAAATTGCAAAACTATGTTTTTCCTACTCAGGGAGGTATAAAACGTCGAGATTTGTAAAAATCACGATTTCGATTTGTCGCAGGATTACAATACTTCCTCCATACTTTGTATACGAGAAAGTAAAAAAAAAGCGGCAGCGATCTCTCCTAAACTTCCTCGAATATTGCTATTTTTACATTCCGCACTTATTCAGTTATTGACCACGTAAATTGTGCGTAAAACATACTAAAATAGCGCAGTAAATGGTACTTTATGTAGGAGATTTTATTTAATACTCTAAAAATAAAGCATACAATTAAACCAAATCGGATGTTAGATTGCAATGTCATCGGGTCTTGAACCACGTGCAAAGTTTCAGAAAAATTGGTATGTTAGAAGTGGTCAAAATTTCGAACGGCAGTTTCAAACCATGACGACACGACAGATAAACAGAAAAAAAAATTAACGAAGAAGCAAGTTAAGAAGTTTTTTTTTGTTAAAAAAAAACCCAGACTGAACTTGAAGGTAATGTAACAGTAGTATTACTTAATACGAGCCGATCCGCGGCATATCATACGCCGCTATTTAGTTGTTGTTTTTTCTACTTTTCAGTAATTCATAATTTGTGAATTCGACAGTACCAACGCTGCCACTGAAAATATTTCTTTAAAACACTATAAGTAGCTCGTTAAGGACGATAAACCCCCCCTTCTCCCCCCCCCCCCCGTTAAAGTAAACTCCACTTAGTTACCCCCCCCCCCTACGTTTAAAATCGTTTCAAACTAAATTATCTGCCCCTAATAGTCGTCACTAAACCCGGCTCTGCTTGTAAACATTTAGCGTGAACCATAGCTCACCAGACCATGTAGGGGTGGGGGTGGTAGGGAGCACGCTTACAGCTTGTTTTCTAGCGTCTCCCAGAAGAGAATCTATATATACGAGCCGACCCGCGGCGTATCATACGCCTCTATTTAGTTGTTTTATTTTCTACTTTTCAGAAATTCATAATTTGTGAATTCAACAGTACCAATGCTGCCACTAAAAATATTTGCTTTAAAACACTAACCCCCTCCCTTCCCCTAACCCTACTTTTCCTCTCTATCGCTACCACCCCCACCCCCCACACATGGTCTGGTGAGCTGTGGTCACGCTAAATGTTTACAAAACAATCACAGAGCCGGGTTTAGTGACGGCTATTAGGGGCAGATAATTTAGTTTGAAGCAATTTTAAACTTAGAGGAGGTAACATAGAAGAGGCTGCCTTCACGGGGGGGGGGGGGGGAGGAGGGGGAATTAGTGTTTTAAAGAAAATATTTTTAGTGGCAGCATTGGTACTGTCGAATTCACAAATTATGAATTACTGAAAAGTAGAAAATAAAACAACTAAATAGCGGCGTATGATACACCGCGGGTCGGCTCGTTATATATATATATAGATAGAAGTAAAAAGTAAAAAAAAATGCATATTTTACCGGAAAAGCTGGAGAAAAATTCTTTTGCTGGTGTTTGTGACAAACACTTTCACAATAGCCAAAACTACAGATGAGATTTATTGAAATGCTGTAAAAAAGTAAAACAACAACAAGCTATTTAACATCTGTTGATGATTGTCTATAGGAGCGGTTGAAGAAAAGTTCACCAGATTCTGTAAAGTGTCAATTCTACACTCAGCTATTGGAGATTGGTGGACTCCAAGAACTCGATCAATTAGAGTAATGGGGAAAAAGGTCTAAATTTAGAGACAATATACAAACAAAATGAATAAAGAAAAAGGGGGGGGGGGATTATTTTATCATGAAAATACGATACAAGGGGAACCAACTTTTAATAGCCGAGATCGAAGTAAAGGCTTTGAACAAAGGTACGTTAGAAACATTTTTGAAATACTACTTACAAAAATGTAAAGGAATACGAATGCTTCATTTCATAATAACCTAATGATGCAATTGAGCAGAAAATCTGAGGAGAAAAAAAAATCATAATTGTATGTTTTTTTTTCTATTTCCATTGTTTTGATTATTTTAACAAGTTTAATAACCTGTACACATGAGTATCTATATACTACTAAAACTCAAGTTTGTTTACAAGTTTGTGTATTTAGGTCTATTTGTTTATTTTTTTTTTGTTTGTCTGTTTACAGGAGAGAATCTGCACTATGTGTAGACCTGTAAAATACGCATTAAGGTAGAGAGTAATGTTCTTTTTTACCCAACTGTTATTACTGTTAATCACAAATGTACTTAAAGACGTTAATTAATGTATTGATATATTCATTGGTAAATACACAACCTTAATTATAAAAGTTCAGAACAATGACTTTAGTTATTGTGACGTCACATGATTCATTTACGTTTTTACAACAATCATGGCGGTTTCCATGTTGCCCATTCAAAAGTTTAACGCGTTATAAATTTAAATTTTCTGTCGGCTATAGCTTGAACGATACGTCCGTTTGCTATTTTTATTAGGTTCCAACACTATTATCAATTTTCATCAGATCTAATTTGAGCATACAATAAATTTCTCTAGATCTACAGATAAGCTGTTGAAGGAAGGAAAGTAGAACCTAGCTTGATCTAAAATCTAGATCTATGTCAAACCAAAAATAATTAGTAAAAAAAACAATTATTAAAAACACAATAAATTGAGTTTCTTTATTAAACTATGTTAGTCCTTAAATATTTGGTATAAATCTTTGCGTTTTAGCTTCAAGGATCATCTAATTCGAGAATACAAGGGATTTAGCTATCTAGATTCTAGTTCTAGAACTACGGAAAAAATAGACTTAAGCCAGCCGTAGATTCTAGATCTAAATCTCTAGCTCTATCTAGTAGATCTAGAATCTATGCCAATAATGAGTTTCTATACTAAACTATTTCAGACCTTAATTATTTTATATAAATCTTTGTTTGTTTAGCTATGGAATTGAATAATTTGGGATACAATTTTATTTGAAATAATACTAGGGCCTATTCGCGTAAATCAAGTTTCTTCGGCTGACTTAAAGTAAAGTATACCACTAAATATGCACCTAATAGGAAGAGCCTAGATAGCTGAGATGTTAGTGTAAAACTTACCATGTGGGTGGCACGGGCTCGAGAAACATCAGGTCAAAGGTTTTTTTAAAAATTCATTTTTTTTTTTAGATGTGAATGATAAAGTTGCCTATCGGAATCTGGCGAAAAACAGGGCAGGTGAAGTAGAGTTCACCCGTTTCTGTGTCCTCAGCATATGAAGGGATAGTGTGGTCAGAGCCATGCTGGCCCTGCTTGGCCGAAATATTTTCTTTTTTTAAACGATAAAAACATGTTGTCTGAAATTGGCGGGACACTGGGCAGATTAAGTAGAGTTGGGTAGGTGTAGAGTTCACCTGTGACGTCAGCATATGAAGGGATAGTGTGGCCAGACACATGCTCAGCCGAAATAGGTGTTTTTAAAAGAGAAAAACGTCTGAGGTGTGTCGTCTTTATGAATGTGGGGTCTGTTTTTTTTTTGTGACGATAAGTAACAGACGTGATGTCATTTATGGATGACCCCCGAAACCTACAGTTATCCAAGGATAATCTAGTAACTACTACAAAGAAAAAGATAAACCCATTATTTCTTAAACATTTTAAATGGTTATAAAAGGATCTAACTTTCTTAAACGTGACTCATCTATTATGTTGTATGGTGTAAAGAGATCTAAAGTAGTTAAGGATGCCTGCACTCCTACTTCCTCAACTACCGGTATTGACAACTATGCCCGACTAAACCTGTCTAAAACTTCTAAAGTTGGACAATGAATAAATTGTGGTATCTTTTTAGTTAACATTTTTATCTAAATAGGAAGTACCATTAAGCTATATCATTGTATCACTGAATGGAGCTATAAAAAGTATACAGATTGTCTGTTAATGTTCAGAGGCGTAGCGACCCTTCCCGGCGCCCGGGGACAAACTTTTCGATTTGCACCCCCCCTTCGAGATTTTGATTTGCACCCCCCCCCCCTCAAACTTTCGATTTGCACCCCCCTCAACCTTTCAATTTATTTTTCCAACCCATTTTGGCGCCCCCTAAGGTCGGCGCCCGGGGACATATGTTCCCCCCCCCCCCCCCGCCCCTCGCTACGCTACTGTTAATGTTACACATTTTATTGATTAAAAAAAAAACAAGTATTTTTTTCAAGCAAAAACCAAGGATAAGTTAATTGATAAGTTGAGGTTGGGTTTTCAAAGTAAATTTGAAAAAAAAAAGTGTATAGTTGGTATGAAGTTAAAGCTAAAGGCTGTTCTTCAGTTTACTAAAAAAAATATTTTTGCACATTTAAATCAAACAGAAAAATAAAAAAAAAATATTTCTGGTAAAAACATAATTCATACCTTGGCAATACTGTACATGGTATTGACATCAAGATCAGAAAATGGCTTCTCCATTTCATGTAAGCGTATTGCACATAAATTCAACAACATACCCAGAATACCACTGAAATATATAAATATGAATTCACAATTATTAAAAAGATAATTGTCTGAAGATATTTATTTAGGGGTGTCAAATTGATTTTTTTAAACGGTCCCAGAACATTATGAAAGTAGCTATGCCAAGAACTGACGATTCTAAGATAGTGGGCAATAAATGTGTTCATATATCTCAAGTAGTAAAACGTTATGACGATATAAAAGTTTTTTTTTTCAATACCCTAAAAGGTGCCATGTGAGAGGTTATATCTGTAAAAGTATAAGAAACCAACACAATATTTTGAATTCAACACACACATACATAGAGAACAGACCCAATTTTTGAAATCTCAAAAATAAGTACTTCATATAGATTTATTGCAATGGAATTGGCTTTTATCACTTTTTGATGAAATTAAATTAAATTTAAAAAGTTTATTTGAATGTAAGTAGCCTGTGTTCCTATAACATGTACTTTTGAAACACACGTTTAATAAGAATAGTGCAGGGGTTCTCAATATGTTACAAATGTTTCTTCTAAAAATAAATAAATCAATAAATTATGACACCTACCCACAGTAGATCTGGCTATATCGAAATACAGAATTACCATAGATCTTAAAATGTAAGCAATATCTGCGTCTGTAACTTATTTATATGCGACCCAATGGTGGCTGGAACAGTGCAAGGGTCCCATAAAGAAAATATTTTTGTCGAAATAATTATTAGTCTCTAGAACCAGTAGTGAATTGAAAAGAAAGAACATTTATTTACAATGTCTTAGTGTACCTATGTTATGAATATGTATTTATACATAGCTGGTTCAACAATTATCGCGATATGGTAGGCCTACACCAAAATACACTTGCTTATTAAAAACAACTACGTAGCTAAATAGATAACCATGCTAGTGCTAGTCTTGAATTCTAACCCTTAGTATCTGAACAGTCCTTATTCACATCTATAACCAATAAATATATCATCAATAATCACGGTCTACATAATTGAAAAGACTTAACAGGGTTTTTATCGTAGACATATTACTTTTTAAAGGGCTTTAATAAGGGTTTATTTCCAAGCTGACTGCGAAAAGTAAATACGTTTGCACTCGTGCACTAATCATCAATATATATATATATGGACATTATTTGTTACAACTGTTAAAACAAAAATATTTGAACTAAGGAATCAGAAAAAATTACATTCCGCACAAGAAGAAGTGGGGTTTAGTTCCTCGGACGAAGCTGAAAAATTACATTGAATTATAACCATTGAAAGGAGTTATAGCTTTAATAATAAATATATAAAGAAGTGTGTGTGTGAATGAGTGTGTGTTACTGTATGTGTGTGTCTGTGTGTCTGGCTGTCTGTCTGTCTTTTATGCACTACTACACCTCTCATAACATCGCCATGAAACTTTGGAAAGTTGTTGAGAATATTCCTTGGGAGCTTTCTGTAAAAAATATTTTGTGATTTCGCAAGAGAGGCGCCACGGGAGTGAGATTTTTCTCAATACACGGTATATAAAAATAAAAGTCGATTGCAGGTTGTTACCGTTCATCCGATTGCCATCAAACTTTGGGGGGTTGATTTCAAATTTTCGATTTGCACCCCACCTCAAACTTTCGATTTGCACCCCCCCCCCTCCCACCCCTCAAACTTTCGATTTGCACCCCCCTCAAGTTTTTCTCTATATATTTTGCTATTTTTTGCCTTGGTGTCACCCCCCTGAATGGTGTCACCCGGTGCGGTTCGCACCCCCCCCCCCCCCCCTCGCTACACATCTAAGGCGATGTTTCTGTAAAAAAATAATTTTTTATTTTGCAAGGGCGGTGCAACGGGAGAATGCGATTCTTCTCGCTTTGGCGACTAATTTCGGTCTAAACAGTGTGATAAACAATCAAAATGGATAAAATGAGGCGTTACAGTCGCTCACTAAATTGAATCAGACGTGTCCGCTGGCGCCCTAGTAGGGTGCGATTTGGCTGCGAACAAAAATTTCAGTTTCGGCCCCCAAAGGCTCACATGGGCCGCTGAGGGCCCTGTAATACGTTTTATTTTAATAATCAGAAAAATTAACCGAGATTAGATTATTAACTGGGATGTTTCTATTTGTCCGTTAAAAAATCCAAACAGTTTCGTCACTTTGAGAATGATGCAATAAGAATCTATTTCTAGAAGATCCAATCAGAAATTGAGATCGAGCATCTAATAATAGACCATTATTAACGCTAACATATTGCATCAGTCACACTGATGTTTAAAACACGTCAAATAATTTTTTTACGTGTTAAAGAAAAAATCCCGTTCATTTGTTTCACTTTAGCGAATGACGCAATCTGCATCATTGTTAACAGGATGCTATTTGGCACTCTGGGATATCCTATGAGCACGATGGCGCCTATGTTAATTCTAAGTAGCCAGGGGCCGTACGCGGCGCCTCTGCGATTGTGTAATTAGGGGCTCCCGAGAGCGCCCCTCTACGTCCTTGACACATGGGTGAACACCCAAGTGTGTTCTACCTCATTATTTCGCTGAGTGATTAATGTAAACTCACGTTTTTCATGCGGTAGTGTAGGTAAACCCGTGTCCCGATAATTATGATCCAAGCGCAGGCATTGTTTACATTCAAATAACTCAGTTTTAGAAAACAAAGTCATGTACTAGACTGACAAACGTATTTAATGAGTAGCAGCATTAAAAAAAAAAAAATTGTAGCTAAAAAACTTGCTAACATCAATTTAGAAAAGTTTGGTGGTGCGTTGTTAACGAAGAAAACGGTAATTTTCTCCGACCGAGCCTAGAGCTATTTTTTTAGTGATCACTATAGTGTCTTTAATTGTATCAACTTGGGAACAGAACAAAACCAAACACAACGCAAACGAAACAAGCAACACACACACACACACACACAAACAACACAAACACAAAAGAAAACACAAACACATACAAAAACGCGAACACAACGCAAAAACAAACACAACGCACACGTCAAACACAAAAGAAAACACAAACGCAATCTCAAAATCGCAAACTCAATACCCAACAATAACTTAAACGCAAATACTTAATCATATTACGCTTTCCCGGAGGTCCTCGCCTTTCCCATATTCTCTATTTTAACCACCCCTTTAAATAACAAAAAAAAAGTTAATAAAAAGTCTAGTGACAATTTAAGCGCAATTTCCTTAATTAATTTTTTTTTTAAATGTGAAAAAAATGATTAGGCCTAGCGAAACAAAACCTTGTAATTGTAACTCCCTATCACTCTCATATAAATTATAAATAAATTAATAGGGTACAAAAATAACGTTTGAATTAATAAGTAAAAAAAAAAGACAACTATATTAACCTATATCAACGGAAATAGTTTTATTTTAACGAGTAGGCCTACAAGATGCTCAGTTTAAACAAGTTAATAAAAAGTCTAGCGACAATTTAAGCGCAATTTCCTTAATTAATTTTTTTTTTAAATGTGAAAAAATGATTAGGCCTAGCGAAACAAAACCTTGTAATTGTAACTCCCTATCACTCTCATATAAATTATAAATAAATTAATAGGGTACAAAAATAACGTTTGAATTAATAAGTAAAAATAAAGACAACTATATTAACCTATATCAACGGAAATAGTTTTATTTTAACGAGTAGGCCTACAAGATGCTCAGTTTAAACAAGTTAATAAAAGTCTAGTGACAATTTAAGCGCAATTTCCTTAATTAATTTTTTAAATTATAAATAAATTAATAGGGTAAAAAAATAACGTTTGAATTAATAAGTAAAAAAAAGACAACTATATTAACCTATATCAACGGAAATAGTTTTATTTTAACGAGTAGGCCTACAAGATGCTCAGTTTAAAAAAGTAGTAAATATCATCCTAGGCCTACACGATGCTCAGTTTAAATGTTCTTAATTAATTTTTTGTGACCGAACGAAAGGATATTTTTGAAAACTTTCTTCGGCAATATTGGTCTAAATTATGGCAGGAATCGAGTTGTAAATGTTTCAAGTCGCTAAGTGGTCTGGTTGCCGAGATATGGAGCAAAAACTGCATTTGTTCGAGATTTTTTGGCTTTTCCGTGAAATCCAGGAAGGAATTCCGGGAATTTTTTCGGCCCACAATCATCCTTGGAATTTGTTTAACATATTTGCTTTGGAACTAGTCCTCGATATTGCTTCGTTGAGGAGGAGATACGACTTAAAGCTGCGGACACACATCCATCCATCCATCCATCCATCCATCCATCCATCCATAAATGACGCATTATTAAACGCAATTGCCAGTATAGAAATTGCGCTAAAAAGTAATGTTACGAGATCATAGAAATAAAAAATAAAAATTCAAAACTCTGCACCGTCTAATTAGAAAATAATATAAATAATCTTAACATTAATATGTTATAATTATGAGCTCTATCCTAATAATTAATGCGGTAGGAATATTAAAAAAAAATTAACTTAAATACTCTGCCCAGAACTTTAACATAACTTAGCCATCTTACTGCTGTGTAATATGGTAAATCTTGCGATTCTGTGTCTGTATCATTCAACATGTCTCTGAACTGTCTATGGTTGAGCCCATGTGACCTTATTAAATTCACCATACAGAGGCGTAGCTGGGGGGGGGAGTGCCCTTGACACCGACCCTAGGAAGGCGCCAAAAGGGGTGGGGGGAAATTTTAAAGCTGATTTTATGCTGCAGTTTTGAATTATAAACAGTATATATTAAGAAAAGCAATGGCTACACGCCTTTACCTACTGATTTAATTGTTTTCTACCTTGATTATTAACTGTAACACATACTCTTAAGAAACAGTGAGCGGCAAAACCGCTTGCCAGCTTTTCTTAGATGTTGGGGGGGGGGGGTCTTTTTCGAGAATAAAATCGGAAGAAACTAATTGTACTAAAGTGCATTGTACGATTGTGTAACATTTAAAAAAAAAGTTACGTTAAAACCCGCTCTGCAAACTTTGTCCAAGATAGTTGGGAGGTGTGTGTGTGGAGGAGGGGGGGGGGGGGGGCTTTTTTCTTGAACAAAAATAGCAAGGTATTTGTACTGGATTAAACACTTAGAAAATAACCCAATTGTATTAACGCGTTATGTACAATTTCACTAGCCAGTTTTGTTAAGAAATGACGCGACTAGTTCTTTGTAAGATTCTTACCATTCTCTTAGCTTCAACGTGAGAGATTAGATACTTTTACTTGATTGCATTACATCTTGCCTGGATCACTGTATTATAGAGAAATAAATATCACGGATTCTTGAATCGCTATCCGATCAGTAAAATAGTATACGATCGGAGCGGGTGGGCGGAAGACGATACCCTTGCCGAAATTTTAAGAGCTAAAACATAAGTATATTGTACAGAATTGATCTTTTTTTTTTAATTGCTTCTTTCATAACAAGTTCTAATACTGCAATTTTCATATAGTTAAGGCTACTAGAGCTACTAAACGATGTAAAACTGGTACAACACGACGACTGCTAATGCTTTGTCACTTTGTTCAACCTAACTGATAATTTAAAACTATAATATACTATTATCGAAATTGTTCTAAAGACACAACCAAAAGTAGAACCAATAAGCTTGCACCATAAACAAACTACACTCTAATGCAGTGGTTCTTAACCTTTTTGGAGGTACCGAACCATATCACTTTCATATGCGCCTTAACCGAACCCTTCTTAATAGTTTTATCGTCCACATTGACAAAATCTTACCGTGAATCACATGTCGGATGTGTGTCTTAACCTCCGCCAAAGCTCAGAGACTTACATACCAAACACTTGGGTTCGATCGAACCCAAGTTAAGAACCACTGCTCTAAGCTCGTTTCATTTTCTTTTTTTTTTATTCTGTTTCGGTTTCCTAAGGAGCATTGGCATAGGCAACACTTCGTCAACTCACTTGATTTTTATGAAGATAGAACCCTAATAATACAGCCTCCCACTTCTCTAGTTCAAACGATTTTCTTCAGGCATTTTTGTGTCTCCTTTTCTTCCTCTTTCCCCGTGGACTTAACACCAGCACCTGCTTAGTGATGTTATTTACTGATATTGTGCCCCAACACCACTTTTTCCACGCTCTTATTTCATTCTCCGCTGTCTGTAATCTAGCTCCGAGACATACAGTAAAAGAGACTTCACAATTTTTTTGACAATGCATTTGAATTCCACATTGTCTTAGAGTGTTAAACGCATTTTGTCGCTACTGATTATAATAACAATGTCATGTGCGGTGCCACGATCATTAAACTGGTCATTACTGCTTCTTCAATTAGATCTGCATTTGTTGTTGATTGTGTGCGAGAAGGCAGCGCACATCTGCAAAGCCAAGACTTGGAGCTGTTAACATCCGTTGGATTCCAGTCATATTCCATGCGTACAATAATTGTTTCAAATAAGCTGCTCTTGTATGTCCTTATTCTAACAAACATATAATCCAACTATGTATCATATCAAAACAGAGATCATTCCAAAAATAGAACATAAAAGGCGGGTCTTAACAAATTAGCGCTTGCTACAAACCACCCTCTAACTCAGATCAGGCATAATTTTTTTTTCTGACATTACTAATCTTTTGCAAAAGGAAAACACATCTTAATGGGAATTTAATTGGCGTAAAGTTTTAAGGAACGAAAATCATACACTGTAATTATTAAATCTTCTCCGGACTGTCCATGCTTACACACGGCTACATGATATTACCCCCCCCCCCCCCCCCCCCGGACATTTAGTAGCACTTAATATAAAAAAAACCCTTAACTTCATAGATTAAAAATGCGCAAGTAAAAAGAAGTTGATGAGGTAACACCGTACCCACAGTCATCCCCTCAACTTCCATTGTTTAAAATGTGTAGTATAGTAGATTCCATGTAAAAAAAAAAGGTGCTTATTTACCATTTCGTTGTAGAATCTCCATTTAAATCTATGTAAAATCGTATTTTTAGCGCAATTTCCATTCTGGAGAATTGCGTTTATTAACCCGTCATTTCTGGATGTATGAATGTATGAATGAATGGATGGATGGATGTGTGTCCGCAGCTTTAAGTCGTATCTCCTCCTCAACGAAGCAATATCGATGACTAGTTCCAATGTTAAGCAAGTTACGAGGATGAACATAGGACATAAAAATTCCGGGTTTCTTTCATGGATTTCCCGGAAAAGCAAAAAAAAAAAACTCGAAAAAATGCAGTTTTTTGCCCATATCTCGGCAACCAGACCACTTAGCGACTTGAAACATTTACCAATCGATTCCTGACATAATTTAGAACAATATTGCCGAAGAAAGTTTTCAAAAATATCCTTTCGTTCGGTCACAAATTTTTTTTTAATTAATTAAAATTTGGACAGAATTACTAGGCATTTTTATTCAACCAGACCACACGCGTAATCACGTTCAATAGCTGCGCCATCACGGTCAATGGCTGCGCCATCACGTTCGGTAGCTAGGCGCGCAATGGTTTTTAGTCATGTAACTCTATTGTAAATAAAACATGTAAAATACTGAATTTTTTTAAATAAAAAACGTTTTAATAACTAACCAATGGTTTTACTAACCCTGCTCTTGATTTACGCTACGACAGAGCTATTTTTAGATAACATAAGGAAATTGCGCTTAAATGTCACTAGACTTTTTAATTAACTTGTTTTTTTTTTTTTTTATGAAGGATAGATTTTTTAATACACAAATAAATAAATATATGCACCTATGTATGCGAGTTTTTGTGGCATCGATATTTACCTAGTCATGGATGGGGATAGCTTTACATTTTTATCATACATTTATTAAAATATGTTATAGCTAGCTCTTTTAGTATCACGTTTTTGACGTGGCTGTACGTAAGTAACCAGTTTATTCTTTAAGTAGCAAGTATTTTGAAGCAATATTAGGCCTACCTGAATAAGCAACCAATATAAAACTTGGCAAAGTAAAAGAATGGAAACTTGAGTGCATCAAAGGCATCACCCAAAAAGTAACTTGCTGGAGTTAACACAATCACACTGTAAGTTAGATGGTGTACATAAATTTAAACATCACGTTTTCTTGTGGACTGAACATAATTACCGTTTTTAAAATCCTGTTTAAACTGAAAAATTATTTTAAGTATTGTAAGAAGAAAATTCATACCTATACACACAACAGCAATAAAGCCTCTCCATTGCTCTGAAACAAGACAATGTTTTAAACATACTGATAAAAAGAAGTAATACTACTAATTGTGCTAAAAAGAGATGTAAGTTGTGCAGTCAATAAATATTTTTATCAATATTTTGATCCACGCATAGGCTTAGCGACCCCTCCCGGCGCCAGGGGATAAACTTTCAATTAGGCGCCCCCTCCCTCCCCATGTATTTTTTATATTAATTGTTTGTATTTATATTTTATATTTATAATTCAAAACAGCAGCTAAAATGAGCTTATTTTGGCGTCCCCCGGGGACATATGTACCCCCCCCCCCCCCCACCGTCGCTACGCCTCTGGATCCACCTTTCTAATTGTGTGTGTGGATTTTCAACACACACACACACATATATATATATATATATATATATATATATATATATATATATATATATATATATATATAATATGTAACTAGGGGTAGCTACAAGCAATGGTTAGGGCTATAAAAAGGGGCAGGATACCACGCACACCTGGGGGTTTTGAACAACAGCAGCCGTTAGCTCTTACATCACCCTGGGTGTGGCCAAACCACATCTGCCACCTGAATAGCGACCCAACGGTCCAGCGAAAACGTTGGCGAGATAAACTCTATGTTACAAAGGGACTGGAACCGCCCATGACACTTATTGAAACGGTCAGCTGAATGGCGACCCACCGGTCAAGCCGATCGTGGGACGGTCCGAGACAGCCATCCCTGTGATCAACGTTGGCCAGGTAACAAAGGGGCTTAACTGCTCAGCTCACTTATCGGATCTGCCATTGGTGACGTGGACTAGCGAACCAGTGATTATTGCCCACAAAGAAGCCTGAGCTGACCAGAGTTTGACCACGGGGGAAAACGGAATCAGAGACGGGCGGTGCGTAATGACAGACTTGCTCTTTGACACCTAAGACGTGACGGGGAGCCAATAAATACGGACCCAACGAAACACGACGGGACATTACGACCAGAAAGCACACGAGAAACGGTAGACTAGACTTTGGCCGTGATACGAGTTATAAATCCAGACCAAGTTAGAAGAAACCAGTAAGACGTGTTTACTGTGACCGGACTTGGGGTGAGTAAGATTGTGCTTAGCTATCATTGTTAGTGTATACGTTGTCTTAAAGTACGTTGTTAGTTGATACCTTGGGAATGTTGTGTATGAATGTATGTTGCTAGGTTAATAGGTTATTGAAGTGAAAGAATAGCTTATTGTGATGATTAAACTTTTTTCTCTATTGTCAATTTATTTGCAGACTTTGGAGGTCTGTAAAGTTTTTAGTATTTTTTCGCTTTCTGTTGTACTTAATAAAATCATCGAACCTACCATCGTGTAGAAGAAAAGAGTGTTGCTTCATTCTTCATTGGCTAATATATATATATATATATATATATATATATATATATATATATATATATATATATATATATATATAGAGAGAGAGAGAGAGAGAGAGAGAGAGAGAGCAAAGTGGTCTGATACTGGTTGGTGCACATGCCAGCGTAGCAACAATAATTTACCTGCTGATTTCAGCTTTATAACTTTGCTTTGGTATCAGAACATACTTGACTTTTTTAGTATGACAATATAATTTAAATTATTTATATTGCATTCAAAATCAATTTAAAAACAAACATTCTATGTGTTAAAGTAATGGCCATAGATAAATAATAAACTACCTGAGCTTTAATCTTCTTTTAATAAAATATGTATATGTTTCAAAAGCACCTGAAAAAAAAAATACAAAATTTTTTTAGTTCAGTACTTTACAAATACAATGTTCAAATATTTGATTTTTCTCAAGGAATGCCAAAAATTTGCAAATAGTCTACGCACACAAATAGAGTCATTGAAAACACGTGACTTAAATCACGTGATACCTACGTCCGCCGCCACGGTGGTGTACACCGGACGTAAACAAAATCAGCTGTTCACCAGCGCTGGACGCGTTCACTGTATGTAAAGAACCGCACCCGCGGAAAAGGAACAATAGGTTAAAAACTTAAACTCTTAGGAATTGAAGATCCTTATACTGTTATTGACCGTTTCGTGGATAATATAAATATGTGGCCGAAATTTCTAAATAAAAATACTGTTAGTAATACTGTTTGCTAATACTCTTTAAGTAGACGAATCTGATAAAATGCAGGGATATATTATAGGTTATCTAGATCTGGTTAATGTAGATTCTAGATTCTCTGTTAAGTACAAGATTTAGTAGCAATAGATCTAGTACAACCACACTACTGTAACAAACTTGAGACCACTTAAATCCTACAAAACCCACACTACAACGGCTAATATAATTCATGGGTAATAACCACTGCTGTTCTTAGATCTCAGCCAATTTGGGTAGCATATTATACAATTTAAGACCCTTATAATCCAACAGGGAAGTGATCAGACACATTAATACTGATGTTCAACCCTCATGTTGGCCAGCCTCCACCTCTTTCTAGCCCACCATAAAACTTCATCTCTTTGTAGGTAACATGGATTACTGTTCTTAGAACCTAGCCCAGCAGAGATAGTATGTTATGTAATTAATGACCATCATGGTTCAGCAGGATTAAGACCAAAGAAGAGTCAGTACCATTGCCCTCCCCTGAAAATTTCTCACCTCCGTGATACCCAGCCCCACAGAGAATTACTGTTCTTAGATCTCAGCAAACCAGAGATAGTATATCTTATATAATTTATGAACCTCATGGCCCAGCAGAGAGAACAAAGGGGAAAGTCCCACTGCTCTCCCCTCAACATTTCTCACCTCCATATCATGTTTTGTGATTTATAGCACACATGGCTTATCAGGGGAAAGCATTAAGGCAGATTAGTTAGTACCACCCTTTTTTATATCCAAGAATCTTAACTCTGGGCAGCTACACACTAGTATACTAGCTACACACTAGGCGCCTACTGTAAACTACTAGGCTGTAGGCCATAAGTAGACCTGCAATTTATCAATTGAAGACTGGGTCCATTGTTATTATTCTAAACCATCTCACTTATAATGTTTCTAGCTTGATTTGTTTCTTTTATAAACAGTGGATTTTTTGTTAATCAGCTAAATCATTAACCAAATAATAATAATGTGGTTATTTGTTGTTGGCTGGTATGATCTAGATTCTACTACTAGGCTACATAAACTTAGTAGACTAATTACTAGATATGCATTTGAATTTAATTAAACTCAGTCCAGTACCAGATACATATTACTTTAAAAAGACACAAAGGAGGTAGGCCTTAGTAATTTATTAAAGCCGTCTACTACAATAATATCACTTACATGCTTGTATAAACTTTTTAAAATTTAATTTAAGTAGCAGATTCTAGACTTAAGTCTAGTCATACAATCTATTTCAAGTTCAGATAATTTCGTTTGCTAAAAAATGATTAGATCAGGCCCTAGGCCTATAGAGCTAGATTTTGGATCTTAGAGACAATTAGGCCTAAATACTTTATTATTATGACTACTTTGTGATTTATTATGACTGTATTTTGAATCGAATGTAGATCTAGATTTTGTAATTTAATTTAATTAGTAGATTCTAGATTATATGTCATTGTCTACACAACGGAGCCAGTAACCCTAAATCTAGAATCTAGATCTGTGGTCCGGATTTTGTTTACGCCATGTTTAGAGCTAGATTTCAATATTAAATCACTATTCCATTATTACAATCAAATCTTATTATTCTTATTATTACTTTTGACTTTATCTTTTACTATTACTTACTATTAGTATTTGTGAAGGTCGAGCATATTTGTCTTATTTACAGTAATCTTTTATAATTAAAATGAAGTTTATTATTTTACTGTCCTTAACTGAAACAAAGTATCGAGAACAGATTCGCATGTATTGCCGCTGCTTCGCTCACACCGCTGCGAAAAATATTGGCTAAAAATTGACGGCGTCTATGATCTGTTAATTGTCGATCTCTATCATCTTGGTTTAATATAACCCTTGGCAGTCGAAATAAAGGAATCCCTTTAGATCTGCCACTTCGAGTATCACAAGCTTTCACAACTCAGATCACCATTTTGAATGTAGATATGTACACCGCGATGGCGGATGTTTACATACACGAATGGACGTGACGTCATATTCAAGAACTCTATAGTTGGCTTAAAACTAGCTTCCCAGTGGCGTAGGCACAGGGGACCCCATGGACCCTCTGTACAAAAAATTTTACTATCATAATACCACTGTTACTTATTTAAATCTATTTCTGAATCAGTATATATGTATAATTGTATATGTATGTTTAGAACAGTCATCTAAAAACTGACGCTATGTTCACTCTGAGTTGGTTATTACCCCCCCCCCCCCCCCCCCACAATTGTGTAGTGCAACATTAATGTCACACCTAAGTATATACTGGGTAGGATAACTCACCTAAAGTGGATGGACAGTGGTGAATTAAGTTGAATCCCCCCCCCCCGCCCCTCAACTCACTCCAAACTGATCTGTTAAGTACATTTGGGAAAATGCATAATGAGGTACCAAAGTACCATGCCGCCAGAATCATAGCTTTTGAAACAAGTAAAATTCTGTAAATATTGTTTTTGCAATTACCAATAAAGAGGTGTGTGATCAATACAGTGATCTAACCAATACCATATCATTATGTTTAAAAAAATTATCTTTAAAGAACACAGAAAAACAGTAGCTAATCAAAAAAAAATTAAAAGAATGAATGGAACGGCAAGACCAATAATTTAGTTATATGTTAGCTATTATTCAGAATGTTCACCTATTAGATTTAGTTTTTCTATTACACAGATTCTATGCCAACTATGATTTAAAAAACTTTCATTATGCTGTAATATTTTTGTATTTATGATGACAATATATTTAATTCTGATTGTAGACAACATATTTTTGTAAAAACGAATAGAGTTAAGCTAATATATTACATACTTAAGTAATTATTGATCTGTTCTGACACTTACAATTAAATTTGTAGAAATATAGTTATATTAATAGAGTGATTATTTGCCTTAATTCGCTTATCTTAACTAATATTCTAGGAATCATGTCAGATTGATTTTTTTTATAAGGATTACAAAACAGATTGTGTTGCATTAATTGTTTTTGGTTGTGTATATATATATATATATATATATATATATATATATATATATATAAAATTTATAGTGATAAATTGTTTTGTTTTGTCGGCCTACATTGTATGTTTTTCTTATTTCCTCAGTGTACTACTTGCAATTTATTTTACATCATAGCGAAGCAATGGCATACAGCTAGTATATATATATATATATATATATATATATATATATATATATATATATATATTATGCTCGAAAAAATTTGAACCCCTCCCCATCCCATGAGGTGATCCTGGCTACGCCACTGTAGCTTCCAATACGTAAAAAGTATTTATTTTTTATAGAAATGTCTGCCACGAAACATAAAAAAAGAATTTATAATGTATTGAAAATAATGTTTTGAAATAATAAATATATGATTTTTGTTCCAAGATGTATTTTTAAACCTGTATAACTATAGTGACTTAATTTTTTTTTTTAACTTGGACCTCCACTCAGACAAAACACAATCATAAAAATTAATACAAGTAATACTTTTTATAACTCAAACACATTTAAATAGTATTTGGGATTATAGAAATACAAACCAAGGCTAGCTATATGTACACACATCCAAAGGTAACCATCTGAATCATATTGAGGGTCTGTTTTTACAACACAAAGTGCAGACAATAGAGAAAGCATCAGCATACAATAGGAATACAGAGTGGTGACCTAAAACAAAGTATTTATATACATTATGAGAAAGATTAAAAGATTAATTATGTTAATATATTTAGGTTCAATCTTTACTTCAAAAGATTAGTAAAACAAGTATGTCTTTTAAATACTAATGCATTCAAAAGAATATAAAATTATTAGTTACAAATGTTTGTATTAAGTCGATTTTTAAGCTGTATTAACTTAAATCTGCAAAAAGGGTAGGTTGTTGGCCTTTTGGGGTGAGCAGGTTATTAGCTCATGACTCTTAACAAAGTGTTTTAGTGCCTGATCATGAAAACTGTTTCCAGGTAGCTGAGCACCAAAAGTCTAACTACGTGTACATAAATTAAATAAATCGAGAGTGATATTTCTAAACTTTCTGGTATATTCATTTTTAACAGTAAGGTAGGGGGCACTTCCGCTGCAATCGGACTTAAGGAATGCTTTATAAAATTAATTTTTATAAGTTTTTATTTAACTTGATGCTTAATTAATTCCTCAAGTCTCGTTTTATAATTTTTTTTCTGGGCCTCATTCCAATCTATAAGGTGGTTGGGGTGAACACATTGGAGGTTGTAAATTTTAAAAATATGTGTAAAAAAAATTTTTTTATGAGGGTTTGCAATTTTTACTTTCTCGTATAGATCTATACGAAGTTAACAGAAAGTATTGTAATCGTGCAAAAAAAAAAAATCGAGATTTTTAGAAATCTCGACGTTTTACACCTCACTGATACGGAAAAACATAATTTTGCAATCTTGTCCGTATGTCTGTGTGTGTCTGTCTGTGTGTAAACACGATCACTTGAGTACCGTTACAGCTAGGTTGATGAAATTTCATATATAGGTATTTTATCAAAATCGTAGATCCGTATCAACTTTTGAGCGATTTCCGACAACTGGAAGTGGTACTTTTTCTACTTTGAATTTTTCAAAAGCCTATAACTTGAGTACTATTTCAGATAGATAAATGAAATTTCACATGTAAGTAAAAGATCTAATTCTCTACCTTCTTTCAAATTTTGACCGTTGACCGGAAGTACTAATTTACGCTATTTCCGATTTCTCAAAAAACGCATGTAAATTTATAAAGAACTAATAATATTGCGCACTATTATGCGCTTTTTGCTTTGGCGTTCACTTGGTGCGCAATTCTTTTTTCTACTAGATTTTATTCTATTTTTAAAAGTTTAAGTAAACAAAAATCATGTCTATATTCCGAGTTGCCATCCCACGTAGTGTTATATTAGAACAGGGGTCTCCAAACTTTTCAGCCCGAGGGCCACATTAACTATCAAATATCAGTTCGGGGGCCCGAGTTTCTTCCAGGCATTTCTTCGTGGTGGTTGCGCCCCCCCCCCCCCATCCAAAAAAATGTCTACCGCCCCCCCCCCCCTTCAACGAAATATAATTTATATAGAAATATATACAAATTTCAAGAGTCCTTCCCCACCTCGATGAAAAAGTCTGAAAGAAACACTGTCGGGGGCCAACTACACTCGAGGTCCAAGTTTGCTCTCAAATTATTCTTCACGCATTTCATTCTTGAAAATATTTGTTCACACAGGTATGTTGTTCCAAAATTTGAAAGGTAATTTGATGCAAACATTTTAATATTAGGAAAGTCTTCTGTGAACATGTCTCTAACGACCCCCAGCTGCATTTCATCTTTGCAACTGGCCAAATTTGCTTCAAGTTAATGGGTTTTGGAACAGTCTCACTTCTTCTACCTTTGAATCCAAGTCAGAAAACCGCTACTGGAACTGCAGAGCCAAGTCTTTGATGATCTGACATGCAAATGACGTGGGCAACTCAGTGGTTGCTTCAGCCGTAATAAGACCTTGCACAACTGAGAGTGCGCCAAGTTGTTGGCCTGTACTTTTGTTCAGTTTTTTGTTCCAAAAATCACGACAAGTTTGGATCTGAAGGCTTTTAGGTGGGTGTATAAATCAGAAACTAGATTTTCTTTCCCTTGTAGTTTTAGCTTCAGAAAATTTAAATGACTAGTTATGTTTGCAGCAGAGGCCAATTTCTGTACCCACTCTTCATCAGACATTAATGGCTGTGGTTTGCCTTTACTTTCTTAACTTAAATACTCTGCTCAGAACTTTCTCGCAAATTAGCCATCTTACTGCTGTGAAATATGGTAAATCTTGCGATTCTGTGATTGTATCTTTCAGCATGTCTCTGAACCATCTATGGTTAGATATTCTCTCCGGTAACATTGCCATACATTCTATATAAAATTATGGAAGCCAGCTCTTGTGTTATGTTTCTGTCTTCATCCCTCTAATGAACACAAGGAGTTGAGGTGGAACAGCTGTCCAGCGACTCAACCATTGCAATTGAAAAATGACGAAACTTACTTGCATTTTTCGCTATTTGAGTCACACTGTTTTCACCAATGTCTGCAACACGGCGGGCAATTATATTTGCAAAGCTAAATTTTCAAATTGTATTGAATTTTCTGGACAAATTCCTCAGCCACATGTAACAAACAGTTATTCCGTGGACAAAAAGATCGCCGCGGGCCGGATGAAAGGACCTCGTGGGCCGCATCCGGCCCGCGGGCCGTAGTTTGGAGACCCCTGTGCTAGACTATAGATAAAATGGCCTCTTATCAGTGGTGTAGCGAGGTCGCGTGTCACTCCCTCCCCTGTAAAAAAATGTGTACATATATTTATACATATCTATAATATCAGCGGGCAATTATATTTGCAAAGCTAAATTTTCAAATTGTATTGAATTTTCTGGACAAATTCCTCAGCCACATGTAACAAACAGTTATTCCGTGGACAAAAAGATCGCCGCGGGCCGGATGAAAGGACCTCGTGGGCCGCATCCGGCCCGCGGGCCGTAGTTTGGAGACCCCTGTGCTAGACTATAGATAAAATGGCCTCTTATCAGTGGTGTAGCGAGGTCGCGTGTCACTCCCTCCCCTGTAAAAAAATGTGTATATATATTTATACATATCTATAATATCAGCGGGCTGGTAGTGTGTCAGTCCTTCCTTCCTTCCGTCATCGCTATAGATTTTGGAACCATAAAAAGTAAACATCGCACCATGCAGTGCTTTTCAGTGCATCTCAGTGTTTTACTAAAAGTAATAGAGTCGGGTTTGTTTATATATCAACTTAAATTTATTTTATAATTGCCACTGTTTTTTCTCTGTCGCATAACGTAAATAAAATATTAAATACACGAACATTGCAAAAACATATGAAACGGATCAATGTCAAATAATATTTTCGTTTAGATTCCTAGAAAAAGTGGATACATTTTCATAACAGAAGGGTCGTAAAAACTAATTAATTCAAATGTTTTATTTTTTAATTTTGCCAAGGGAGGTAATTTAACTCTTTTTTTTCTAATTTTAACAAAGGAGGTAATTTAAAAATAAATTAAACTCACGCTAATAAAAACAAGTAATTAAAAAAAGTCTAGTGACAATTTTAGCGCAATTTCCTTATGTTATCTAAAAATAGCTCTGTCGTAGCGTAAATCAAGAGCAGGGTTAGTAAAACCATTGGTTAGTTATTAAAACGTTTTTTATTAAAAAAAATTTCAGTATTTTACGTTTTATTTACAATAGAGTAACATGACTAAAAACCATTGCACGCCTAGCTACTGAACGTGATGTCGCAGCTATTGAACATGATGATGCGTGTGGTGTGGTTGGAAAAAATGCCTACTAATTCGGTCCAAATTTTAATTAATTCAAAAAAATTTTTGTGACCAAACGAAAGGATATTTTTGAAAACTTTCTTCGGCAATATTGTTCTAAATTATGGCAGGAATCGATTGGTACATGTTTCAAGTCGCTAAGTGGTCTGGTTGCCGAGATATGGGCCAAAAACTGCATTTTTTCGAGGTTTTTTGGCTTTTCCGGGAAATCCATGAAAGAAACCCGGAATTTTTATGGCCTATGTTCATCCTCGTAACTTGCTTAACATAATTGTTTTTGTAACTAGTCATCGATATTGCTTCGTTGAGGAGGAGATACGACTTAAAGCTGCGGACACACATCCATACATTCATCCATCCATCCATCCAGAAATGACGGGTTAATAAACGCAATTCTCCAGAATGGAAATTGCGCTAAAAATGTGAATGCAAATCTACGGACGTCCTAGAAGGAATTAGTGTTGCAATAATATAATTAGCAAAATGTGAATGCAAATTATGCGGATGTGTTAGAGAAAATTATTGTTAGAAAATTATAATTAGCATGGATTGATAAAAGGCAATCTTTTATTTATTTTATTCACTGAATGTACTGTTTACTACTTATTATTTTTAATCAACTAATCCGCACTATTATAGACGTGTCATCACGTTCATTGGGTGCGCAATGGTTTTAGTTATAAAACTCTATTTTAAATTTTTACAATTTTAAGTACTGGGTGAAAAAAATGCGTGAATTGATAAAGTGATAGAATCTATATGGTAGGTAAAACACGGATATTTTAAATACTGCCTATTATTTATTGTATATTATTTATTATTATTCTATCTTTTGGTTTGCGGACAAGCTGGGGGTTTTATAGGAGAGGCGTAGCGAGGGGAGGGGAGCATATGTCCCCGGGTGCCGACCTTAGGGGGCGCCAAAGTGGGTTGGAAAAAATTTGCGGGGGTGGGGAAGGAAATCGTAAGTTTGAGGGGGGGGGGGGGGGGTCAAATCGAAAGTTTGTCCACGGGCGCCGGAAAGGGTCGCTACGACTCTGTTTTATAGTCATTCACTGTGTCAGACGCGTCCGCCGGCGCTCGGAAAGGGCGCGATTTGGCGCTACGGGCTAGACTGTGAGCAATATGCCTTTATGATTAAATTTAAGATATGTTTATGTTATGACTCTTGTGTTTGTTTTTTTGTTCGTGTTTTTTTTTTGCGTTCGTTTGTGTTGTGTTTAGTTTTGTTCTGTTCCCAAGTTGGTACATTTAATAAAGATTTACCGTGGCGGAGAACGGGATGCAGCTAGTATATATATAAGCGGGCTGAGCGTGTGTCAGTCTGTCATCGCTATAGATTTTGAAACCATAAAAGTAAATATCGCACCATACTGTGCTTTTCAGTGCACAGCAGTGTCTTATTGTAATTAATAGAGTAGGGTTTGTTTATATAACGGCATAGAGCTATTTTATAATTGCCACCGTTTTTACTTTTTTGCATAACGTAAAGAAAATATTAAATACACGCACATTGCTAAAACATATAAAAAGATCAATGTCAAATATCATTTTCGTTTATATTCCTAAAAAAAATTGATACATTTTCATAAAAGTAGGTCGAAAAAACTAATTAATTCAACTTTTTTTTGTGTGGTAATTTTTGCAAGGGAGGTAATTTGAAAATATATTTAACTCATCAATAATTTTTTTTATTACTACCGCATTGATTATTATATTTTAAGGTTCATAATTAAAAGAGAAAAATGTTAAGATTATTTATATTATTTATTATTATTTTCTAATTAGTCTATGATTTCTCAAAAATCACTATCTGTTTGCTTTTGTTTTTCGGTGTTATGAAAACAGATGTTGAAATTAGACTTTTTAAGAATAATGGAAAGGCTCTCTCTGTGCGCAGGCGCCGGGGAAAACGTGTTTTTAATATTCAACTCACTCTCAATAATTTAAGTTAATTTTTTTTATTACTACCACATTGATTATTGTATGTAAAGGCTCATAAGTAAAATAGAAAAATGTTAAGATTATTTACATTATTTTCTAATTAGACTATGATCTCTCAAAATCACTATTTTTTGTTTTTGTTTTTCGGTGTTAACAGATGGTGAAAATTTAGAATTATAGTATAGAGAATGCTGGAAAGGCTCTCTCTGGGTGCGGACGCCTAGGAAAAGCGTGTTGTTCAGTGGTGATTCTATTGTTGTGGTTGTTGTTGTGTTGTGGTTGTGTTTGTTTTGTTTGTGTTGTTTTTGTTTGTTTTGTTCTGTTCCAAAGTTGGTACATTTAAAAAAGATTTACCGTGGCGGAGCACGGATGCAGCTAGTGTGTATATATATATATATATATATGTAACGAGCGAACAGTTAACTGCCGACGACGCCAATTGTAACGAGCGTACAGTTACCCTGCTCGCAACGCCACATGTTACGAGACTATTTGCCTGTAGTGCCAAATGTAACGAGTTTAACCACTCATGCTACACAACATCGACTACAGTAGAAATACTCGAAGATGCAGGTTCGCTATTGATCCTTTTATTACATGAATCAAGAAATGCTTCAAAATAACACAATGAATCAACAGGAATGCTTCACAATAATAGTCTGAATCAACTGACCCCTAACAGTCCTCACTAGGCTTCATATAACTGAATCCACATGTCTATCGTCCTTCTTAACCCAAGACGGCTAACCCGTTCTATAACCAACTGTCACACAGACTGACTGATCTAAAGCGAGCGATCGAAAAAGAGCGATCGAAAGAGATCGAAAGAGAGAGAGCTCCGCCGTCCCCTCCTATTTATCCCTTGTATTCGTACTTGTATTCATCCGTAATCGATATTTGTAATCGATGTCTCCGACTACTAGTTGCGCAGTTCTAACGTACAGCCCGACCAACAAAACATCTGCATCCTATCAATCAAAGTTGACAGGCCGTCTGAATCTCCTCGTACCGTTTCCCAAAATAGCACGCGTTGGCTTTGAGATTGTTATCAGTCCGATCCAATAAGCCACCTGCCATCAGTTGCATCAGACTGTAATACTGCGTCGCGGCTTATCGTTCGTTATCAGTTACATCAGATTGTAACTAGTAGTTAGGCCTACCCTAGTTACATCCACCCCTGCCTTTTTTTGTGTGTTTTCAACCACAAACAACTCTTGGCAGGTGCATTCCTCCAAAGTCAATCGCACCATCGTAAAAAAATTTATTGTTCCACTCACTGTCCACGTCGTCCCATTCGTATACGATTGACAGTTATACCTATTTCACATATCAACTGTGTCTACATCATCTTCCTGAGACACAAAACAGTTCTAGAATTCACATCCACCCTTTCCATTTGGTGCCTTCACCAGTTCACTTTTATAGCTTTTTTGAACAGTCTGTTCTCATACCAGCGCGACCATGAAAGAATTGATGGTTGCTGACAAAAAATTTCGTCTTCCTTCTGTTCCTCAAACTTCTCCGCGGACCACTTATCTGATGGTCTACTGTCTCTCTGCTTCTGGGAGGAACGGGATCCTCTTTGTTGCCGTTATCCTCCACTTGTGTATCGCCGTTGTTCTGTTGATGGTGATCTGGTTCCGGGATGGGTATGTGAATTTCCGTTGTAACTTCCGGTTCCCTAATTGTCTTAGGTTTCTCTGTGTGTAACTGCTCTTCTTGCCTATTCCAATATTTCTTTAATTGAGCAATGTTCGCCCACCGATCCGGTTTGGCGTGATCGATGGGTCTTATCTTAAAGGGGCCACCTGCTACTTTAGGCATCTCCACGACTTGCCATATCTCCTGTCCCCAGAGGTCGTGGATCTTATTTCTGCCTAACGGGTGGCTGCGCAGTAATACCCTGTCGTTCAGTTTGAGTGGCGGGTCCTTTGTCTGTACCGGCGGTTCCCTTCGCCGAGATTCATGTTCTAGTCTTTCCTGTACTACCCTGTACATTTCTCTAATTCTTCTCATATGTTCATTCACATATTCCAGTGCGGTGTATGAGCCAGTCATACTCTCCCTTTTTCCTAGGAACAAATCAAGAGGGAGTCTAGCCTCCCGTCCGAACAGCAACATGTGTGGCGCAAAGCCCGTTGTGGCATGGGGGGTGCAGTTGTATAGATATACCAACTCTGGGAGAAAATCCGGCCAACGTTTTTTCTGTTCAGGTTCTAGGGTACGCAGCAAATCATGCATGCTGCGGTTGAACCGCTCACACTGTCCGTTTCCTTTCGGATTAAATGTGGTTGTTCTAGATTTGTTGATCCCGTAGTGGCTGCACAGTTGGTTGATTACTTCTGACTCGAAGGCCCTTCCTTGGTCAGAGTGTAATTGTCTTGGTATGCCATATTTGATGAACCAATGTTCTATTAATACCTTTGCCACTGTTTTGGCAGTCTGATCTCGTGTGGGCACCGCCACAGTCCATTTGGTGAATACATCAGTCATTACCAACACATGTTCCGTCCCATCCGATGATTGCTCCAACGACGTAAAGTCCATAGCCACAATCTCTAGTGGTTTTGTCGCTAGTAGGTGTCCATATGGCTGTCTCATTTTGACAACTGGCATTTTCGCATGCTGACACCTCACACAAGCCTCACAATGGCGTTTGACCTCCATTTCCATATTGGGCCAGTAACACCTCCGTCGTAATATTTTGTGCGTCCTGTCCTGACCCTGGTGTCCTGCCCTGTCATGTGCCAACCTTAGCACTTCCTCTCGTAACTGTCCAGGCACCACCACCTGGTGTATTGTCCCATCAATTTGGTCATGAATTCTCCGCATGAGAACACCATCCTCTATACTGAGACGGTCCCACTGACTCAGTATTTTCTTTGTTTCTCGACCAAATTGTTCTCTTTCCCTTCTTCCTGGGAATTTTTGTTCCTGGACGTATTTCAATAGCGGTTGTAAGCCACTATCCGTTCTCTGGGCATCTCTTATCTTTTGGTGATTAAGGCCGTTAAAATCACTGCTGTCCATAAGTCCGGGCTCTGTGGATATGTGCTCCACCCCGGTCTGCCCGTTTTGCATCACTTGTACCCCATGAGGGATATCTGTTGACGCTCTGACCTCACATATTCCTGTCAGTGTTTCTTCCTCATCGCCCGGTCTCTCGTAAGGATACCTTGATAAAGCGTCCGCATTGCCATTGGACCGCCCCGGGCGATATTTTATCTCCAGGTCAAAGAGTGCCAATTCTGCTGCCCATCGCTGTTCGATGGATCCCAACTTTGCTGTCTTTAGGTGACTCAAGGGGTTATTGTCAGTGTATACCACACATTTAGCACCTAATAGATAGTCCCTGAATTTTTCAGTCACAGCCCATTTTAATGTCAAAAGTTCTAGTTTCATGGCGCTGTAATTTGTCATGTTCTTCTCTGATTCCTTCAGAGCTCGACTGGCATACGCAATAACCCTGAAACCTTGCTTTTGTTGTTGTGATAGCACAGCTCCCAGACCTTTAGAGCTGGCGTCGATTTCTAACCGAAATGGTTTGTCAAAGTCCGCGTATCCCAATATCGGCGCCTCTGTCAAAGCCTTTTTCAAGAGCTTAAACGAGTTCAGGCATTCATCAGTCCATAATTCACCTATCCGGTGTGTTTTACCTTTCTTTTTCTCCTTACTGTGTTTCTTTGTCATTTTGTTTACCAAGTCATGCAATGGTGCGGCAATTTTTGCAAAACCAGGCACAAATTTTCTATAATAGGAAGCAAAACCCAAGAATGACCTGACCTCTACCGTAGTTGTTGGTTGTTTCCATTCTTTAACAGCTGCAATTTTATCTGGGTCAGTGGCGATGCCATCCGACGAAATCACATAACCCAAAAAATGTACCGATTTCAAACCAAAGCAGCATTTGTCTGGGTTCAGCTTTACTCCTATCTCCCTAAGACGGAGAAACACTTGTTCTAATCTTTTTAGATGGTCCTCCCAAGTTTTTGAGTAAACTAGAATATCATCCAAGTACACCAACATTATTTGAAATAGAAAGTCACTCATAGCACTCTGCATTACTCGCTGGAATGTAGCAGGTGCATTAGTTAGACCAAACGGCATACGGGTCCACTCGTACAGTCCCAGTGGAGAAATAAATGCAGTTTTATGTTGATCGTTGGGGTGCATGGCCACTTGGTGGTAGCCGCTAGCCAAATCCAAGGTAGAAAAAAATCTTGCTCCCCCCAACGCATCAAGACATTCATCAATACGAGGCAAGGGGAATGCATCCCTTCTTGTGATATTGTTCAATTTCCGGTAATCACAACACAGTCTTATCTCCCCTGACTTCTTTTTTACCACTACTATCGGTGCCGCATACGGGCTTGTACTGGTTGTAATAATTCCCTTTTTTAGTAGATCATTCAGGTGTGCTTTCACCGCCGAGTAGTGACTCGGTGGTAATCTTCGGTAGGGTTGCGCCACCGGCTTGTCTTGTAGTAAGGGTATCTGGTGTTTGATTACTTCCGTGTACCCCAAATCACCCTCATACGAGGCAAATATATCACTGTATTTATTCAGCAATTCATTTAGTTTTGGGTCCTCAGTTTCCGGGAATGTATATGATCGGCCATCCTCTTTCTTCACCTCGGCCGTCACATTGACCGACCTAATTGTTACTTCATTACTGCTGGTATTGCTCAGTTCGATGCACTGTGCCGACCTTAGTACCTCGACGTTCTGTGGTACTCCTACCAGAGTATTAGGCGGTATAAAAATTTCCTCATCCAAAACATTTGCTACCAACCCTTGAACTAGTCCGTTTTCCGCTGATGTGTATGTCCGCAGTAACACGACGCCTGCCCTCAGTGCGGCGCCACATGGTTCTATCATCACATCACCATTCACGCTTCTATCACCAATTTGTAATGTGATTGCCTTGACCGTGTTTGCCGGGACTGCTGTCCTTCCTCTGGTCTTGGCAAACCTGGCCAACTTGGATCCTCGACCAGGTGTGGTCGATCCGACAATATTTGTAAGAAATTCTGGCAACTGGCCAAGAATATTCATGCCCAATAGGCAAGGTATATTTGACACATTTGTCTCTAGGTTGTGTTTCGTAACGAACACCCCAACCTGCTTCAACCTATGTCCCGACACCACGACATCTGCCAGAAAATAACCACAGTATGGAATGGTTAGTCCATTAGCTGCCGTTAGGCGCATGCATGCGTCAGACCTCAACCTATGGTCTTTTCCTTTCATCCATTTGGTGTAGAAATTTTCCGTAATTGTCGTCACCTGGGAGCCTGTATCCACAATTGCCTTCACCGCGATGTCCCCAATCGTAATCACCATTTCTGGACAGACTCCCATCATTTTGTTTCTTGGGCCATAACCTCGCCCCTCTGTAGCCTGACCCTGCCTTACAGAGGACGACCGTTTCCCTGGCAGTACCGTGCCATATGTCCGGGTTGTGAACAGGACAAGCAAATTGGTCGACCGTCGGCCGTCCATTGGAGTAATGGCTTGGCAGGACGCGGCCGTCCAACCTGTCTCTGTTTAGTCCCGTTCTTTTCCTGATTCTCAGCTGTTGACCTGCTTTCTAACCTCTCCAAACGTTGGTCAACCTTATCTAGGTGGGCCAACAGTTGAGCCATCATGGTCTCCATCGTGTCGGCCCCTGTGGGTGGGGATTGTCTCTGTTCCGGCACAGAGACTTTGTCCACCGAACAGTTCGATTGGTCCTCATCCTCGGACCTGCGGATCGCTGAGTTCCTGACCTGAAGGAAGGTCAACTGCGGGTCTTTGTGGACCTCCTCTTTCAACTCTCTCCTTAAGATCGGGGTTGCTAGCCCCTCGATGAAATGGTCCCTCAGTAGGCGCACATCAATGTCAGGTGTTCTGCCCCTTACCGAATCAAAGGCCCTGTTCATCCGGTGTGAGTACTCCATCACACTCTCCGCCATTCTCTGCCTTAGGCCTACGAACCCTGACAGCAGTTGCGATCCCGACCGTCTCTCCCCAAAGGTCTCCATAATCAGATCCAGCACCTTATCTGGATCTGATTGGGTGGTTTTATCGTGGCATTTGACCTCTGCCCTAACCGTCTCTCCTATACTGCCCATCAGCAGCCTTAATCTTTCCTCTGGTGACATGCCTCTCGAGGCCCAGGCCGCTTTGACCTCCTCACTGAACCTGTTGGTTAAAGTTGGATCACCGTCCCCGTAAAATTTGTTAATGTGGGACTCTCTGGGTAGGACCACTATATGGGTCTGCTTCTCGTCCAGAGTAGACATTTTATTCCGTAAGTAACAAAAAAAGAGTTCTTTCTTACCGTGTGTGTATGAAAATTTTTTCTCGTTCCTCAATTTTCACAGTTCCTGAATGTCCGAATTCACACACACACTAAACACAGTTATGCACAAGGTTGACTATGGGTGCCTCAAACGGCAAGTCTAGTTGAATTCATCCTGTCCGACAACGCCAATTGTAACGAGCGAACAGTTAACTGCCGACGACGCCAATTGTAACGAGCGTACAGTTACCCTGCTCGCAACGCCACATGTTACGAGACTATTTGCCTGTAGTGCCAAATGTAACGAGTTTAACCACTCATGCTACACAACATCGACTACAGTAGAAATACTCGAAGATGCAGGTTCGCTATTGATCCTTTTATTACATGAATCAAGAAATGCTTCAAAATAACACAATGAATCAACAGGAATGCTTCACAATAATAGTCTGAATCAACTGACCCCTAACAGTCCTCACTAGGCTTCATATAACTGAATCCACATGTCTATCGTCCTTCTTAACCCAAGACGGCTAACCCGTTCTATAACCAACTGTCACACAGACTGACTGATCTAAAGCGAGCGATCGAAAAAGAGCGATCGAAAGAGATCGAAAGAGAGAGAGCTCCGCCGTCCCCTCCTATTTATCCCTTGTATTCGTACTTGTATTCATCCGTAATCGATATTTGTAATCGATGTCTCCGACTACTAGTTGCGCAGTTCTAACGTACAGCCCGACCAACAAAACATCTGCATCCTATCAATCAAAGTTGACAGGCCGTCTGAATCTCCTCGTACCGTTTCCCAAAATAGCACGCGTTGGCTTTGAGATTGTTATCAGTCCGATCCAATAAGCCACCTACCATCAGTTGCATCAGACTGTAATACTGCGTCGCGGCTTATCGTTCGTTATCAGTTACATCAGATTGTAACTAGTAGTTAGGCCTACCCTAGTTACATATATATATATATATATATATATATATATATATATATATATATATATATATATACTTGTATATACGCATGTGTATATGTATTCACATATATTTTTATGTATTTAATTTTTTTACCCCTACCCCCCTCCTCCCCCATACATAGATTAACATATAAGTTATTACGATTCTCAACCAAAACGTTTACCTCAGGCATATTTTGCAACGTTAAGTTTATGTAACTTCCCCCCCCCCCCACCCCAAGGCGATTGCTTTAAACTGTGCTCAGATATAATACTAACGATTTTTTAAATCTATAGACGGTTATAAATACAGCTTGATGTAGCATGTTTTCTCTATCATTAGCAGGTTTACGTCATGGTGTCATTCCCCCCCCCCCCCCTCCACCCTTGTCGGGGTTGGTCATATTTGATCTTAAACGACTATTTAATCACTTAATTTAGTGGAATTATCATTTTTCTGTATATACTTTGCTATTTTTTGCCTTGGTGTCACCCGGTGTGGTCCGCACCCCTGCCCCGACCCCCTCGCTACGCCCCTGCCTCTTATTAGGACTTCAGTAAACATTAAACACGTGCCTTATGCACCATCTATAAGTAAAAGTATTTACCCTTTTAGACCTAACTGATGTAGTAAACATTATAAACCTGCCTACTGCACCATGATTTTTTTTTGCTTTTATATGTAAGTAAAAGTAAGTATTTATTCTTTTAGAGCTACTGGTCCATGGGCAGATAAAAAAAAGAGATCACTTTTTCTGTAACCTCAGCTAATGAAAGGATAATGTGGTCAGTACTATGCAAAGCAGCCCAATGTGAGTCTGAGACCCATCAGAGTTGAAAGGATTCAGGGAAGTCACAAGGACTTGAGTTGGGGATCTGAACAATAGAATTTTGTATGTACTTTTGTGCAAAAAAAATCTTACTTGCTTCTGATGTATTAGGTCAACAGTTGCTTTAAATGCAAGAACCAAGTTCTGCATCACTAGATAGACTGGAATTGGCTTGAAAAAACAATATAATAGTTTTAAACAATACAAGGTATTTATCATTATTCCTTGAGTAGTTAGAAAGAAGATAAAAGTAATAAAAAACAAAACACTCTTACTGAAACATCATCAGTAAAATACAGGATCAGGTCATTAACCCCAGTCAATTACCTCCCAGTTAAAATCCAAACCCCCGCCCCTATATTTAGCCCACAACCAAAAAAATACTCCTTGTTGATCACTAATTCACCATAAACATACAGTTATGGCTATAGTTTGGAATAGAGTTGGTCTATTAAATGTTTTTGATGGAATAAGCATATTCCACGTTGCCAAGGTAAAGGAACATAAAATAAAAAAGAATTACATTTTAGAGTTTCAATGTTTATTCATTAAACAGTATTGAATAGCTTGATGTAGGGAGATGAATTTCTTTGTTTGAAATTTTTAGGGCCAAGGGTTGAAATTGGTTGAGATGCAGAGGTGAACAGAAGGAAGCATGCTTGCTTTTCCAACAACTATTTTGAAGAAAGTGCTGGAGAACTGATATTTATAGTAAGACTATGGTCTAGTTAATGTGTTTATTTATTTATTTATATATATATATATATATATATAGTTTTCAAAGGTTTTTACAGGCGGTATAGACGACCTCATTTATTTTAGTTTTCTTCTTAATTTAAAATATATAGTGCAACGTTCAGCACTACTGCAAGTCTCTTAATTATAGTATAGACTTATTGTATAGACTTCTGTATTTACCTATTTTGTATTTTCTTATCATTCTGAAATAAAAACTGGGCTGAGGATATAATAAAATTAAATATTTTTATAATTTAATAATAAATTTAATGCTGCTATAATTCTAAATCAGGTTTTAGGCCTACTTTTTAGTGTGTTTTTCAAAGCCCAACAAAGCTGCATTGTTTACTAATGATTATTTATATTATCACTATTTTAGGTTAAGTAAGATTAATTCAGTAGGGTTAGTGTTATGATATGGTCTTTTAATTTTATTGCTATGGTAGAGTTTAGGTCAGGTTAAATGAGTTTGATTCTAGGTTTAGATTGAGATTGTGTAAGTGTTATTACATTTTGAAATTATTAAAAATAACCTTAGTTCATCACAAAAACTGCTTCAATAGAATATTTAAGTTAAACAAATTAAGAATGCAATTTGTGATAATTATATCAATCAGTGTTTTATATGTTAATTCTTCTTTCAAATATCACATGTAGCTAGATGTAGATTTGAATTTGTGTTGGATTGCAGTAAAGTAGGTCAAACAATTAGTAAAAATTATATATTAAATCACCCATTTAGCTTATGGTAAATTTAAAGTTTGTATATTTACTATACAACTATACTAACTATATTATAGTTTTAATCTAAGCCTAAATACCCCCCCCCCCCTCAAAACAAATATACCTACTCAAATATCTACCCCCCCCCCCCCCCCCCCCGCTTGGAAGTGACCAGGTCAATTTTCTGTGATGGGGGAATAAGAATGTGTTGGAAGATTGACAATAACAACATGTTAGTTAACTCCCAGTTATTTCTCACTTCATCTCTTTATCCCCTTTTAATCACCTTCCCAGGACAATGGCCCTTGTTCATCAACCCCCCCCCCCCCCCCCCCCGAACCCCTCAAAAAAGGGTTAGGCTGAGAGTGATGATTAAGCTTAGGGTTTTATGTATTTTCATTTTGAGACGCACACTGTTTGATTTACCAATGACACACACAAAAGATGCAATGACTTTACTAGTTCAGTAAAATATTATTAAATTATAGTTACCAGGCTAGACAGTGCTCTAGATCCTGAATATATCGAAATGAGGAAGCACATCATACCTGGCAACCAGAGGGCCCAATCACGCCTTCAAAAGTATATTATTCATCATATAGTAAAAAAATGTGATTCAGACAACACTAATATTTATATTGTTATGCATTCAATGTAGTGATAAAAACTGAAAAAATATATAATTTATACAGAAAATATTGACTCAACCATTGCTGTACCATAGGCCTACTTCAGCAAAAAAAGAATGTCTGGGGGGAAAAAATGTTAAACCCCCATATTAGTAGCCCCCCCCCCCCCCCCTTATCTCTCTCAGCACTATAAAATGTGAGATCCCATTACCATTCCTTACAAATTATATTAAATGTGTGATTGCTAAACTAATGAAAGAAACACATTAAAAATCCAATTACCAATCTTTTCCATTCAGTAAGCCATCTACATAACCAGTTGAAAATAGAGCCTTGAACATAATTATTCCAACCAAGGTCTGCCATCTGAAACAATCATACATTCTGTTTAAAGTCACATACTTGGACTTGAGCAAACAATTGGGATGAGGGGCATTTTATATTTGTCTCAAATACCTATGCATAATAATAAAAACAAAAGAGTTGCCTGTAACTGAATAAATCAAAATTATTGTTCATCTGTTATTTATTTTTAAACTGATTTTAATTCTGAATATTTTAAAAGAAAATTTAAAACTGTTGTTTTATTAGTAAATGCATTTTCACAATTCATGTTTATGGCACAAAATTTATGTCATGTCATGTCATGTTTGCCTGTCGTCCCTACTGGGACATAGGCCGCTGACAAGAGCTTTCCAGACGTCTCTGTCCAGGGCTAGTCTCTCCAACTGTCCCCAGGTGTATCCAATCTTCTTGGTGTCTTCTTCCAGGTCACGTCTCCAGGTCTTTCTTGGTCTGCCTCTCTTCCTCCTGCCTTGTGGATTCCAGGTGAGGGCCTGTCTTGTTATGCTGGATACAGGCTTCCTGAGTGTGTGGCCAATCCATTTCCATTTTCTCTGGAGGATCTCTACTTCCACTGGCAGTTGATTTGTCCGTTGCCATAGAACATCATTTCTGATGGTTTTAGGCCAGCGAATTCGCAGGATCTTTCTGAGACATGCGTTTATAAATGATTGTATTTTCTTCTTATTTATAGCAGTTATTCTCCATGTCTCGGCTCCATAGAGTAAAACAGGTTTTACTAGTGTGTTGAAGATCCGGATTTTTATTCTAAGGGTTAAATCTCCCGAACCCCAAACATTTTTTAGTTGGTTGAAGACTGCTCGTCCTTATTTTTACACAAAATTTATGGGATACTTTGAATACCATTTTTATGCAATCAAGTAATGCAACCTAAGGAAGTTGTATTTAATGAAACAAAAGCAAAACACAATTTATTTGTACAATAATTTTGTAATGAAATACTCTATGAGTATCAATACATAGTTTCTTCACTAAATTAATTTGGTACACCAAGATACAGCTAGCTTTTGTTTCTATGTTCCTTTACTAACATTATTTTGATAATGCTGTGAAAATTCTTTAGAAGAAATACTGAGCTGAATTAGCTAAGCATTTAAAATACCAAGCTTCCTCCTCAGCTTCTCACTTGATACAAAATCGCATTAGGTATCAGCATGACATTACCATCTTTCAGTAATCTGAAGATTTTTTTTACAGGGAATTCTTCCAGTGAATAAAAACATACCAAAATAAGATCAACACTTACCAAAATGAGATCAAAGTAAAACATCATTTCTATTAACAAAAAAAAAAAACTAAATATAGAATCTAGAACTATATGTACATTGTAAAGTATTTAAGTGTCTACCTACCCTTGAAAAATGGTTGGATAAGTAAATTTAAGCACTGAGAGTATGTACTGAAAAGGAAGGAAATTATTTGTTACTAAAACAAGGAATGTTTAACCAATAGATACATATATAATATAGATCTTGATAATCCTAATATATAAAAGCCCATGTGCACAATTCTCTCTTTCCTCTCTCTCTCTCTCTCTCTCTCTCTCTCTGTCCGCAACATTTTTTAGGCTATGTGATCAGTATGTTCAGCAATATATGGAGAACTTAAAGATACAGACTTTTGTTGAAAATAATATTGATGGTGTATAAACTAAATTTTATTTAAAGAATGAAAATAAAAACAAAGGCATATTCGAATGTAGAAACACATTTTTAATTATGCAACCGGAAAAATGTTTATTGTTGTGACAAGAACGCAAAAATCAATGACGTAATATGTCACATGTTTGAACTACAGTATACAAAACAAATCATGTCATCTTCCCATTTTAGAAAATGAAGAAATGAACTATTATGCAACCTTTTGAAAATGAAGAGCCAAATGTTACAATTTACAAATGTACCAATTTTTAAAGAGCCTCTGACATTTTTTTATTTCAATATTTGATATTTGATTAGTGTTAGATATATATATATATATATATATATATATATATATATATATATATATATATATATATATATATATAAATATATATATATTGTTTAGATGTATGTTTAAACAAGGAGGATTGGTGTGAACGAATATTAGTGCGAAAGTTAATGACAAATTGAATAGTTACGCGGTTCGCAAGAATGTGACGTTTTAGTGTATGTGCGTTGTTGTCGGGGAAAGAAGTTAAAAAGTACACTTGTTCTTATTGTGTTAGAGTAGGGGTCTCCAAACTACGGCCCGCGGGCCGGATGGGGCCCGTGAGGTCCTCTCATCCGGCCCTCGGGGATCTTTTTGTCCGCGGAAAAGAAAATGTTTGTTAAAGGTGGGTTAAAGGTGGCTTAGAAAAAAATTCAAAAGAAATATTGAAAATGTAGCATTGAGTGCAAATACCATTGAAGCAATTGTAGCCAGTTGCCCAGCCAATGAACTCCATAAAGACATGTTCAAATAAGGGCGGGTGGGTTTTTATAAGCATTTGCCCAAGGAAGACTTTCCGAATATTAAAACTTTTGAAAGTACCTTTCAAATTCTGGAACAACATACAAACTTTATCAAGAATGAAGTAGGCCAACTTGAAGAACAATTTGAGAACAAAACTTGGACCTCGAGTGTGTTGTCGGTCCCCGACAGAGTTGCTTTCAGACTTTTTTATTGGGTGGAGGGGCACTTGAAATTTGCATATATATATATATATATGATGAAAACCCGCATTGCCCACCCAAACCACAACCAACCAAAACCAAAAACAACAAAACGCAAACATAACGCTAACACAATTACAAATACAAACGAAAACAAAAACCTAACAACAAACCCAATGACAACCACAAACACCAATACAAACACAAAAAAAAAAAAACGAAAAAGCAAATGAAAACAAATCAAATCCAAACGCAAAACCAACCACAAACACAAATACAAACACAAACCCAAAGAAAAAAACACAAACGAAAACAAAAAAAGAAAGGACAAAAATGA